TCCAGCCCCAATTTCTCTTTTTTTTTTGTTTTTTTTTTCAAGACAGGGTCTCACTATGTAGCCCTGGATGTCCTCCTCTATAGGCCAGGCTGGCCTTGAACTCAGAGATCTGCCTGCCTCTGCCTCCCAAGTGCTGGGATTAAAGGCATACACCACCATGCCTGGCTTAAAAGTTTCAGTTTCTAATTTTTATCCTAACAGCCCAAATAAGAGATTGAGAAACTGAGGTTCTGAAAAAGTTAACTGGCAGCTGATGGGTAACTGTGAAGGACTAGATTGGAACTCAGGCCTCCCATTCCCTGATTAGGAAGGTTAAAGTTTTCCATTGATTTACCAAAGTAAAAGAAAAGCATTACATTATGTCCAATTATTCTTCAAATCCTTTGTGAGTTGGGGAGATGGCTTAGTGGGTCTGAGGCTTGCTACACAAGGTTGAGGACCTGAGCTCCCTACCCTAGCACCTATGCAAGTGTTTAGTAGGTCTCAGTTATGCATGTGCGCGCGTGCACACACACACACACCAATACACATATACTAACTTTGCTGGATTCTGGTAAAAATGAATTAAGGCCTCTACTGCTAAGTGTAACTATCATTACTGTTTTTACATGAAAAAAAACATAGGTACATATACATGAAACCTGTATTTATGTCTACCCCTAAAAGCTTTAAAACAGGGCTAGAGAAATGGCTCAGCAGTGAAGAGTGCTCCCTGCCCTAGAAGAGGACCAGGGTTTGATACCCAAGAAGCCACATTAGGTGGCTCACAACTGCCTGTAACTCCAGCTCCATGGGATCCAATGCCTTCTGGCCCCTGTGAGTGCACAGCGCACAGAGACTCATGAGACATTTCACACACACACATATACCTAAATCTTGAAGAAGTTAGGGCTGGTGCTACACACTTGCCAATAAACAGCTCACAGGGATTGAATCTGTAGAATGGAGACTGCAGAGGAGCCTGGGCTATGTAACACATCTCAAAAAGCGGCACACACACAAAACTAGAAAATCGGCTTGAGAGAAATGGTCTATGCTGAATTTTCTATACAGTCGCCCACTTACATATTCTAAAAGCCACTGTGGTGATTCACCTTTTCTGCCACCACGCCCCTTTTGGCTCCCACAGTAATCACTGGAGCAGAATAAATGTTCAGCACTTGGAACTATTGTCAAAACTTAGTTGGGAGAGGTAGTTGAAAATATAGCTCATCAGGCAGAGTGCTTGCCTTGCAAGCATAAAGACCTAAGTCTGAGCCCATGTAAAAGAGACCAGACATGGGGCAGAGACAGGTGACTCTGCAGGCTCTCTGGCCCGCTAGCCTACGTGGGCAAACCCCAGGCCAGTGAGATACTCTGTCTATTAAGAGGTGTATGGGGGCAGCTGAGAGGGCTCAGCAGGTATAGGCACTTGCTGCTAAGCCTAACACCCTACCACATGGTAGGAGAGAACTGATCCCTGAAAGCTGTCCTCTGACCTTCACACCTGCAGTACACACACACTCACACACACACACACACACACACACACTATATATATATATATATATATTATATTAATATATATATATTAAAAAGAAAAGATGCTAGTGGCCTCCTTGTACACACAGCATGGGCACTCTCAAATACAGAGGATGAAGGAGTTAGGGGCCTTCTGCTGTAAGGTTACCATTTGTTTACTTATAATCATACTAGATAAGGCCTTTTGGTTTCCACAGTTTCCAGGGAAGTAATTTAAACGATCTCAAGAATGAAATCTTTGTCCAAAAGCCTTGTCCCGAGAAACAATGATGGCCATCTGAAGGAGGTGGTCACTTTTCTAAAGACACCGGATAGTGAGGACATAAACGGAAGCAGTAGCCTTCACAAAGCCGTTTCAGAGTTGCTGGTACAAGGCCATTAAACACCAATTAGACACAACGCCATCACATTTCTGTGGCTTGTTTTGTTCTTGGTTTGTTTTCATGCAGGCAAAATGGTTATGTTAATCCCACGCTAATGATCCTCTGCAGTATCGTTAGGGATTTGCGAACATTGACTGTAAGCTATTTTAGCTAATGAGCTCGGTCTGCCCCAAGAGAATGCAATCTCTCCATTTCTCTTTCATTTTCACGCAGGCCTTGCATGGAATTTTCCTCTCCTCTTCATTCTGCCAGATTAATACGTGGTCACATGTGCCTCACATTGTTTTCCTCTGGGAGGCTAGGAACTTCATTTCCTCCTCCTGCTTCCTCCTTTCTCTCATTTTAAACTGTAACCAAAATCCTCTTCGGGGGTCCCTCTGGTCTCTGTGCTAACGGGGAGAGCCCAAAAGGGAAGGAGAGGGAAAGAGAGGGGTGGCAGAGAGATGGGGGAAGGGGAGGGAATGGGGAAAAAAAGAGGGGAGATCAAGAAAGCAGCTGGGAGCCCTGAGTTGTAACCGTCTCCATGGAAACAATTCCTTAGCGACCAGTCTGGAAACAGTTCTGTAGGCATCACTGGGGCAGCGCGGTCCAATTGCACCAACCCTCACTAACAGGGGTCAGATGGGAGGGGGAGGAACAGGATTCTTTTCTTACCCAGTAAACTAAGACGCTAATAAAAATTACAGTTACCACCCTATAATGCATCTTTAGACTAGAAGATTCCTACTTTCTGTAATAAACAGGCAAAAGGCCTTCTAAATTTTTATAGTGTTTGTAAAGAGTGCTCATCGTAAAGAAATTATGGGAAAAAATACCTCCAAAAGAAACATCACCATTGGGTGGAAAAGTCAGACATCAGAATCAGGAGAATGATCTGAGGATTGTCGCCCATAGCCACACAAGTGTGTACAAAGAACGCCAAATTCATTTGGGTTGCAAGTACATTGACTTTTAGGTGAAGAAAGGGGATTACAGGATTCCATCTACCAAATTGGGCTGGAAGAATAAAGAAGCCATGTAATTTAAATCCATGGAAGGAAGGCCCAGAGGAGAATTCATCCGAAGTGTGGAGCTGGGAGTTTTGCTAAAAACCAATTACATTTTAAAGGGAGAACATGCTTTAGGTCCTAACTTCAATCCACAGCTATTAAAGGAAAGGGAAGACTTTAGGGGGTTTATAGTAACAATAGGATTACCAAGTTTCTGCAAGTCTCCAACCAATAAACTTCCTTGTAACCACAAAAAAAGGGTTTAGACCTAAGTCACTCAGCTCTATCCCTTCCGCAACTCTTTTCCCTGTTCTGGGATTAGGAACAGCATCTGTGAAATGAGGACCACATTTTAGAGCTATAGAGACACAGTTGTGTGGAGGGTAGAAGGGTCAGGAGTTCAAGGACACCCTTAACTACACAAGAACAACGACAATGAATGCTTACCATGCCTAGCTCCAGTGAAGCTCTTAATAAATCCCAGATATTATGGATTCTGTAACATCTTTTGGTTTTCCTGTCTGTAATTATAACAACACTGCCCCCCCCCCCTTTCCCTGAGGAATATTTTGGGTTAAACCAGTAGAGCACTAGAGACATTTAAGTAACTCTGAAGCCGAATGGAAACTGTGAAATGAGTTTCCGAACAGTCTCCGCACTCCGGTGAGTCTCTGCTGATGCAACCAGACCAAATCAGACCGAGTTAGAAAAAGCCCAGGCCTAATGGATGAAAACGTTCCCCTGAATGATTTCCCAGTCCCCCAGAGAGGAGACGGGAAAGGAAGACCAGAAAACCACATGTCTGTTTTTTGGGTGCAGTTTAAGTCCCCTGCGGGAGTGGTCTTGAGCATCTCTGAGGGAGAGGTCATCACTTGGTGGGCTGAGATGCAGCAGGGTTTGGAGAGAAGGGGGAGGGGGCTTAGCATGGAGCTTTCACCCAAACATTCCAGATTGTTTGGATATATGGATGCCAGGGTCTGGAGTGAAGCTTCCACCCGAACATTTTCCATACCAGAAACTAAATAATTGGCCTCCTGGTTCCAGTCTAAAAACACACAACACACACACACACACACACATACACACACATCTCATGGTAAATAAAATCCATCCTACACTGCTAATGTCCCCCACCGCAACGAGCCCAGCTCCACTCCTAATGGGCTTCCCAGTGTCTTTAGCACCAAGAAATCTTTGAAGAGCACACGGAAGGTGACTACAAGGTTCCCCCTTCACATTTACAACCTTAACTGGTCCTGCCTGACTGCTGACTAAGATCATCCTCTGCCCGTTAACTTGCTTTGTTCTAAGTCTCTTACCCCACGATAGCTCTCTACCTTCCCACAGATTTTTTTTTTTTGATGTGCCATTTGTGTTAAAACTTAAAAGGTCATAAATGTGTCATGAGGAACCTTGGTAGCACCATGGAACCCCCAAAGTGTTCCGTACGTGTCTCCTGTAAGCTAATTTTCAGGAACATCAAACTTTATATAGTAAACGAAGACAACTGCCACGAGCCACTGAGCTGTCACTGGGCTTAATGACGAGAAAAATTAAACATGGCAGGTAGGAAGGAAATCAAGAAGTCAAGGCTGGTTGGGCTAGGCAGGAGAGCAAAACCCCAGGCTAGGACCAAAATCCTGCTGGGTGTCTTTTTATCTTTGCAGGCGAAACATCCTTTTTTTTTTCTGGTTACGTAACGCAAACATGGTGGAAGAGAAAAGCCTTTCCCTGGTTTTTGGGGTGCAGAACCACGTGGCTCCCTCCACGCAGGGCAAGGGCGGGCCTTTACGGGATGTATCCTCAGGGAAGCAAGAAAGCGCCTTAGCAAACCGCGACGCCACGGTTCCTCAGAACCCACGCACGTCCTCCGGTGGGAGGAACAAAAGCGAGCTCTGAGGATCAGACGGCGGACTGGGAAACCAGAGAGCTACGGAGTGGCCGCCGCAGCCAGGCGACCCCTAGTGCGCAGGCGCGCTTCGCCCCGCCCCCGCCCAGACCGGCCTGTCAGTCGAGTCTCGCGAGAGCGGCGCGGCCGGCCCGTGAGCTCCGCCCCGCCCCCTCCTCTTCGCTCGCTCCCTCCCATCCCCCCTCGCCAGTGTCTGTGCTGCGCAGCTCCCTACGCGGTCGTAGCCGCCGCGGACGGTTGGGAGGGAGAGACTGTTGTCGGGAGCGCCACCCGCTGACGAAGCGGCCGTCCCTGCCCACCCGCCGCGACCGTCGGAGTCGGCGTTACTAGCGCCCCACAGGGTATCTGAAGTAGAAGGGGGTAGGTTGGGCCGGTAGGTGCCGAGAGCGGAGTCGGGAGAAGGCCGAGGAGTCCGGGAGCCGGTGAGGGAGCGTGGCGTCGGCTGGCCTCTGGGGCTGTCTGCCTCCGGGAGGAAGGGCCGGCGCCGCGCTCTCCAGCCGCTCGCCCGCTCTCCCCGCCGCTCGGCTGCCGCCATCTTGGGGTCTGTAGCTGTCGGGTCGCCTTCCCGCCTTTCCCCGCTCGGGCTACTTTGTCGTCTTCAGCTCCGGAAAGTGTTGGGAAGGCCGGGGGTCCTGTGTGGGCAGGGGGCGGGAGGAGGGCGAGCTCTCCGGTAGGGATGAGGGTGGGGGAGCTCGGCGAGCAGGGACGGCGGGGCGGCGAGACGCGCTCCCGGTGGAAATGGCGCCCGGCGCGGCCCGGCCTCCCACAGTGGCCTCCGTCCTCCGTGGCCTCGAAGGGACTACCTGGGCTGGCGGGGCGGCTAGTGACTGCTGACGCAGATCCCCGGGATGAGACAGGTGGAGCCGGGGGAAGGCGAAGCCAATGACGGCGCGGGCGATCCTCCTCTGGCAGATGCAGGACAAAGGCGGACACGGTGGTCCTTTGTAATCCCGCCGCTCGGTGGCCGAGGCCTTTTCTCCCGGCCTGGCCGAGAGCCGGAGGCGGGGCGTCCCCTAGTTCTCTGGTCTCTAGGGCAAGCTAGATAAACGGAAAGTCTCCGGGAGGAGGGAAAGGATGCTTAGCCGGCCTTTGTAGTCCAGATTTGGAGCTGCGAAAGAGTACGTACACGTCGCCAAAGGATTTTTTTTTCCACATTAGATGTTTACCAAGACCTTAATTTTGTAAGAGAACGAGTGATTTAGGATGAAATGAGTATGTTTCAAATAGGCCGGGTCCGGGTGAACTACGGGACTGCTTTTAGGCCAGGGTGGCTAGTTCAGCAACGTTTTCTGTAGTTGTTCTCCGAGAGCTGTTTTGTGTCGACTTGTAATTAAAGCCGGAAATCAGCTATATTTGTTTTCATTTGATGGCTAGGCATGTTTAGAACAAAGTGTCGAACTGTGTTGTTTTGAACCAAAAGAATGGTCTAGCATGTTTTGGGTCCTTAAATCAGAACTGTGTCGGTGATTTCCATTGAAGATGGGTTAAAAAGGAAAAAAGAATATCCTGGACCTGAAAGTTAGCTTGCAGTAGTGCCCATGCCACCTGGAATAGGCAGATCCTTAATGGCCTTTAAAAATCAAAGGACTCAGATCCAACTGGAAAGAACTAAGTAATATGCCCACATTTTCTTTATTGGATTGCATTATAAACAATTTTTTGTTGTTTGAGAGAGGCTCTTGATAGTAGCTTGCAACTGGATATGTACAGGAGGCTGCCCTCTAGCTCTGAGTCTCCTGCCTCTGCTTACAAGATGGTTTTGTTGTTTTGAGATAGAGTCCCTGTAGACTGGTCTGGAGATTCGAGGATGTTGATGTTTCTGCCTCCAGCTGCTGGGATGGCAGCTATGAGCCACCACACTGTTTATAACATCCATTAACTTCTGTTTAAAGTGGTATTCTGTGGACTTCGGTGCATCTCTAGTGTCAGACTACCACAGCTCAGTTTAAGAAACACTTTACCATTTCAAAAAGATGTACGTACTAACAGTCATTCCATATGCTGACCTGTTCTATTTCAGTCACAGATCGTGTTTATTTTTTTTATAGATTTTTGTGTTCTTGGTATAAAACTGGAATAGTATGTAGTCTTTTGTGACTGAAATTTTTGCTTTCTTTAGGAAGTTGTATTTAAAGTCTCAAAAAGTTGGCTTCATTTTAACTGCTAGTATTTTCAATTGGTACTAACACTTGGAGGTTTTCTGATAGTGTTTCCCTGCTTACCCAGGCCAGCCTGGGATTCTTGGGCTCAAACCACCCTTCTGCTTTAGCATCCATCCACTGTAGGTGGACCATAGGCAAAGGACTGCATCTGTGACGCTCTTGGATTTGGGGGTAGTGTAACTCAGGTTGGTCTCCCTGTCTCAAGGTCTAGAACAGAATTAGGGGCCTGAGAACGCTGGGCTCCCTAAAGCAGATAGTAGTTAGCAAAGAAAGGTTGGAGTGGAGTAGTCTAAGTAGTGAACAGTTGCACAACCTCTGAAAGCTTTATTAAGGTCTCAGAACAAATTGCCCATAATGTTTTCGTAGGATTCTAGACTTGAGTTTAAAGGTATGTTACAGCAAGGCAGTTTCCTGTCTTCTGACTTGGAGTGGGATGTCACCCTGGGAGATAGTTTGGTCCAAATCTTGTTGGCTTTTCCAGTAAAATTCTGTTAATTGAAGTCAAGAACTGATGAATAAAAGTTTTCCTATAACCTCCACATTACACTGAAGTATGAGTGTATACTAGCACATACACAGATTAAAGTAGTTGTTTATGGTTTTCAGATACAGTTGAGGTTTTATGGAGCATCTTGTTGGTTTTACAGCAGTGGTTCTCAGTGGGTTCACTGATACCATTGGAAAATACAGGTGTTTAAAATTCATAACAGAAACAAAATTACAGTTATGAAGTAGCAGCAAAAATAATTTTATAGTTTATGAGAACCTGTATCAAAGGGTCGAAGCATTAGAAAGATTGAGAACCACTTCTTTACAGGGTCCATAAACTCTAATAGTCAAAGGTGAATTTTTAGCTGAAGCAGATTGGAACTACATAATATAAATATTCTTGTAAAACACAGCAGTGGGTGCCAATACCTCACTTGCCTACTGCTGGTTTGTTTTGGTTTTTTCAAGATAGGGTTTCTATGTGTAGTCCTGGCTGTCCTGGAACTCACAAGAGATGTGCCAGCCTCTGCCTCCTGAGTGCTGGGATTAAAGGCACACACGGCCATCACCACTGCCGCCCAGCAGTTAATGCTGTATTTTATAGTGAATACCAGGCTCAGAAATGCAATGTTTTAAGTAGCCATCGAATGGCAGATTAGTGAGCCATTCAACACCATGATGCCTTTTTTTTTTTTTTGATAGTCTCACTATGTGAACTTGGCTGACTTTGAACTCAGAGCCTGCTAATGTCTCCCAGATGCTGGGATCAAAGACATGTGTCACCATGTAGGGCCTCATGCTTTCTTTTAAATCAAGTGCACTGAAGAATTACTTATAATGTCAATTTTTAAATTGTGTTTTCGACATTTTGGTTCTGTCAAGAGTGGCACCTTCCACGGGCTTTGCTTTAAAGATGGGCCTAGATTTTCTTTCAGCGGGGTTTGAGGTTCAGTCACTAGTACACACAAAACAGAAATGCTGATGATATACACATTAATAACCACTGGAATAGAAATTAAACATTGTCTTTAATACATGTATTATTGGAGGAAGGGTGTTTAGAATGTAATCCAAAGGTTGACACATGATAGACATTTACTCTGTCATTGAACTATATCCTTGGGTTCATTGATGCATGAATTTTAGAAATTTACACCCCCACCCCGGTTTTTGGTGACAGTTTTTCTGTGTAGCCTTGGCTGTCCCATAGATCAGGCTGACCTTGAACTTACATGCCCACCACCTCTGCCTCCAAAGTGTGCCACTATGCCAAGTTCTAAAATACCTTTTTGTTTTGTGTTTTTCCCTCCAAGACAGGGTCTCACAATTGTAGCCCTGGCTGTCCTGGAACTCACTGTTGTGTAGACCAAGCTGAGTTCAAATTCAGAAATCTGCCTACCTTTTCCACCCCTCAACCACCACTCCATTCTATATCCCTGCCCCCCCCCCCCAACTCACTCCTTCCTTCCTTCTTCAAAGACAGAGTATGGCCTTGAATTCCTGAATGTCTTGCCTCAGCCTCCCAGGGCTAGGATTGTAGGAGTAAGTGTGCTGCCATGTGATTTTAAGAAAATTAGAATTGTTAACTCTGTAGATGCTGCCTCTAACAGATGATATGGAATTAACCATTAGTGAATGGTGTTGATATACCATCCAGCCTAAAGGAATCAAGTGAAAAAAATTGTTTTGTTGACGGGAGGAGGTGGTGAGGGAAAGATTGGAATATTCAGGTGAGTAGGATTCCTGCAGGTGTGTAGTGAAATAAGCAAGGACTGGTAAGTTTTTCCACAGCTGCGGAACTTCTGCATTAGTCTCTAAAGTATTCTGGAATTTTACAAGGAAAGTAGCTGCCTCTAGGGGAGGTTTTGTGTGTGTGTCTTGGGGGATGGAAGGGGCTTCATGCTGTGCTTTTTAAGTGCCCTATGAGTGTCACTGTGTTAAATCTGCTTAACTAAAAATGTTAAGAGGATGAGCATAACATGGAGTGGTGACACTTCCCTTTAGTTCCAGCACTGGGGCTGAGAGGCAGGCAGGCATCTGTGATTCAAAACCAGACTGGTTCTTGGTCACCCTGTCTTAAAAATCCCCCCCCCCCCCCCCCCCGTTGAAAGGTACTCATCTGAGTGTTTGTTGAAGCAGTTTTCTTATAGTCCCAGCTGGTCTCAAACTCAAAATCCTGCCTTAACTCCCGAGTACTGAGCTCTTGGGCATGTGCCATCTGTCATATTCCACATAGCATTTGGGTTTCAGCAGTGTTTTTCCTTGTTTTCTTTTGTTTTTGAGATAGGGTCTTGTAGTGCCCTCCAATTGCTGGTGTAGTCAAAGATGACCTTGAGGTCCACCTAGCTACTGTGGTTTTTTTTTTTAAATGCTCAAATCTCAATATGAATAGATGACTATATTATATATAGATGACTATATTATATACACCTTTTATGTGATTATTTTTAAACATTTTGCAGTTGGGCTGGTGACTTGGGTAATCTTAGCACTCATAGCTATTGGTACACTGACACCCTGTCTGCAAAACAAAACAAAACAAAAATCCGGTAGCTTTGGGTCAATATTGAAGCCTGAAAAGTTAAAAAAAAAAAAAAGTGAGTGGACTGTGGAAAAGGTGTGTTACAACAAATTTTACTCTGGTGGTTCAGCGATGTTTGGTAGGTGAGGGGTGAGTTTCATTACCTTTCCCTGCCCCACCCCAAAGTAGAGTTTTTATAATAGAGTACTCTGTTGCTGATTGTTGTAGGAATTGCATGCATGCATTCCTCACTGTGACACTTGAGAGGTGTTCAAATCTTGGTAAGAGGGTGTTGTGATTGACTGCTTTTATGTGCTTGTTTATTTTCATAGCATTTAAATCAAGCGATATTGAAATGGATTGGGTTATGAAACATAATGGTCCAAATGACGCTAGTGATGGGACAGTGCGACTTCGAGGACTGCCATTTGGTTGCAGCAAAGAGGAAATAGTTCAGTTCTTTCAAGGTACCTCTAGTACTAGTCAAAGTTTAGTAGTATTTTAACTGTATGTGTTTTTTATTAGATGGTTTTTAATTTATAAAACTCGTTTGATTTTGGAACTAAATTTTGTGGTAATCTGGGTTATATAATAAAATGGGAACTGTGCTCCAGTTAATATTCCATAGAGAATATATAGGCTATGTAAACATTGATTAATGTACAGTATAGTTAACTGAGAATAACTATGGTGACATGGGCTATGAGTTATCATTGGGAGCACAGTTAAATATGTAGTTTTTCATGTAGTGGGCTTTTAGAAGTATAATTTTAAGACGCTGGTCACAGAAAATATTTAATCCAATGATACTTGAAAATATTCCATTTGTGTTATGGGGTGATGGGAAACTACGCGTTTTGTTTTGTTTTGACTTGTTTTAAATATTTGATTCAGATGGGAATGTTTCAGCCTTTAACACTGTTCCCCTTGATGGGGTATTTGTCCTTGGGTTAAAGGGTTGGAAATCGTGCCAAATGGGATAACATTGACGATGGACTACCAGGGGAGAAGCACAGGGGAGGCCTTCGTGCAGTTTGCTTCAAAGGAGATAGCAGAAAATGCTCTGGGGAAACACAAGGAAAGAATAGGGCACAGGTGGGGATGGAGAGTTTGGGATGGTGTTAAATTTTTATTTTTGGGGGTTGTGGGTCACTATTGCTTAAATGGGGGGGTAACCATAACATTTTCTGGGGGTAGTTTTAAAGAATTGATAATTACCTAAATTTAACATGGAAACTACAGATTTGGGTGGGGAATTAATGCTAATAGTTTAAATTAAAACTAGATTATCTGTTTCCATTTCTTTGTAGGGTGTTGTTAAATTTGTTTTTGTATAATCACCTGTTTTTCTTACATATCTATCTTGTACTAAAGGAAACAAACTAAAAATATATTCATAATTCAGTGTTTTCAAATGACTCATTTGTCTATGTAAAACTTAAATATTTAATTATTTAAGTTTGTAGGTGTAAAAATGTTACCTTATGGCTTATTTAGGCAATTTAAATTGGGTTATGTACCTAGATATAGACACTGCATTTTGCCCAGTATCTAATTACTCTCTAATATATCCACGCTGAAACATATACTTTAACCCTTTTAAAATAGGTACATTGAGATCTTCAGGAGTAGCAGGAGTGAAATCAAAGGATTTTATGATCCACCAAGAAGATTGCTGGGACAGCGACCGGGACCATATGATAGACCAATAGGAGGAAGAGGGGGTTATTATGGAGCTGGGCGTGGAAGTATGTATGACAGAATGCGACGAGGAGGTGATGGATATGATGGTGGTATGTGTATCTAATGAACAAAGGTTCTGTTGTCATTTTCTTGATGTTCCTGACACTTTGTCAAGAAATACAGAAATGGCAGTAATTTCAGTACCTACGAGGTTTTAAAACCTGTTCATGAAATTATGGGATTTACACTGTGAAACTTGATTGATGCACATATTAACACCTAGAAAATGTAATGTAGAAACGAAAGTAAAGATAACTGGCATGTTTCTTCTTGGCATAAAGATGAAATTTGGTTTTCATGTTATGTTCGAATTTATCCTATGGTTATTTTCATTTCCATCAAGGGTTAACTACTTTCCTCATGTGCAGTAAGCTGCAAACATCAATGAAGAAGCTAAAATTGTTGACTACAAAATGACTTTGTAAATTAGCTTACAAAATAAATTACTCAGGATGGTATTTCTTTTTCCTTTTATTTGCACAGGCTATGGAGGTTTTGATGACTATGGTGGCTATAATAATTATGGCTATGGAAATGATGGCTTTGATGACAGGATGAGAGATGGAAGAGGTAAACTAAGAATATTGTCATGCTGAAGTAAATTGTATTGTTTCCTTAGTAAGCTTCCAGTAGTAATTAGGCAACTCTTAGTAGTTAGGCAACTTTAACAAGCTAATGGAAACTTGTGTCGTTTCACTGGCTTATAGATTTATATGTATATACTTACCTGGCCCCACGATGGTTTATAATCTAGGCATGGGAGGACATGGCTACGGTGGAGCTGGCGATGCAAGTTCAGGTTTCCATGGTGGTCATTTTGTGCACATGAGAGGGCTGCCTTTTCGTGCGACTGAAAATGATATTGCTAATGTAAGTGTGGTTCATAGTGGGTATTTTTACTTATTATTCTTGGCGGGAGGTCTCATTGTAGCCCAAATTGGATTAGAATTTAGAAATCCTAACTTGGCTTTGAGCATGTTGGAATGACAGGCAGACACCATGCCTTATCTATTCTATTTGTTAAGATTCAAGCTAGGATTGTCACTCAGTGATAGATTATTTACTTAATATGTACATAGGTGTTTGTGTCCCTTATATACTGACCTATGTGAGATTTTAAGCAGGTTTAAAAATGCATTAAAAAAAACTCAGTTCCCAGCACTCAGGAGGCAGAGGCAGGTGGATCTCTGGGAGTTCGAGGCCAGCCTGGTCTACAGAGCTAGTTCCGGGACAGGCACCAAAGCTACAGAGAAACCCTATGGGGGGGGGGGCAGATGGGGAGTCAGTCAATCGGATAGGAATTTGCCTTTAGCAATAGGGTTTGGAACAGCCCCAAACTTCAAGATATTCCTAACCTTGCACATGGAGCCAGTTTCAAATTTTTTTGTTTAAAATTTAGTATTGCCTTACTTTAAAAGCTCCCTGAGTTTAAGGCCAGCCTGGTCTATAAGAGCCAGTTCCAGGACAGTCACCAAAGCTACATAGAGAAACCCTGTCTTGAAGAAGAAAAAATAAAATATAGTCCTCTATGTGAGCCAAATTGACCACCTTTGTAGTAAAGGGTGACACCCTACCTCCACAATGCTGGAGCCCTATAGACTCTCAATAGTTTATTTTAGTGGATTAGGAAAAAAAATATGTGCCTAATTTTAAATAATTGAAATTTAAAATTGAATAACTTTTATTTAGTTCTTCTCACCACTCAATCCAATACGAGTTCATATCGACATTGGAGCTGATGGCAGAGCAACAGGAGAGGCAGATGTAGAGTTTGTGACACATGAAGATGCCGTGGCTGCCATGTCTAAAGATAAAAACAACATGCGTAAGTGGTGTCTTTGGGATGCTTCTGTTTTATAGATGTGTGCAGTTTATAAAATAATTACTTGTTAAAATGCCTGTGGTAGATCTTAGGGCTTAAAATCATTTGACTTAGTAATAATGTCTAGACTTTAATGGATGCCTAAAATAGTCCTTTATGTGTGGATCAGCCTGCTTTTTAAATACTAATTGACCTTTAATTAATATTTGCTCCAATATTCCCTTCTCTACTATTCTTACCTTTTTCCACTCCTCTTTTTTAAAGAACATCGATACATTGAACTCTTCTTGAATTCCACCCCTGGAGGTGGCTCTGGAATGGGAGGCTATGGCAGAGATGGAATGGGTATGTATACTTTTGTATTTGAGACAGGTTCATCCTGCTCTGTAGCTCAGGCTGGCCTCACAATCCTCCTGCCTTGGTGCTTTGGCATACCCTTCCCAAACCTGGGTTTATAAAACTTTTTAGAATAAGCAGTATTGGCTACTTTGGAAACCGTCCTGTTTTTTTGTTTTTTGTTTTTTTTTTTTTTTAATGTGCAGATAATCAAGGAGGATATGGATCTGTTGGGAGAATGGGAATGGGGAACAACTACAGTGGAGGATATGGCACTCCTGATGGCTTGGGAGGTTATGGTAAGTCAGGTTTTGTATTGGCAATGTCTTTGACTTAAAATATAAATATGGTGATGTGCATGGACATCTCCTGACAGGTGGTTCTTAAATGTCTTCTTAAGGTCGTGGTGGTGGAGGCGGTGGAGGTTACTATGGGCAAGGTGGAATGAGTGGAGGTGGATGGCGTGGGATGTACTGAAAACACCACCACCAACGTACAAGTCCTAACAACAACATCTGTCTACTAGACTTTCTTACGGATTTAATTTCTTTTGTATTTCAAGAACTTTATAATGACTGAAGGAATGTGTTTTCAAGATATTATTTGGTAAAGTAACAGATTGTGATGGGAAAATCCGTTTTCTGTAGGTTTTATTTGTTGCATACTTTGACTTAATAAATTTTTATATTGAAACCACTGATGTTGCTACTTTTTATATATAGGTACTCTTAAAGATGTGTTGCCTTCATAAGATTTGGGATGATGTATTTTACTGTTAACTCTACAAAAAGTAGCATGGTGCAATGTGAGTGGACAAGACTGTGAGTCTTAGCACACATCTGGGATGGATAGAGCTTGAGTAGTTAGCTAGCTTTCTTTCCTGGACTCTGTAAATAAAAAGCCTAAAGATGCATTCAAGTGGCTTCAGGAATATAAGTTCAGTTAATTCTGCATTCTCTTTTCAATCTCATTTACCAAGCATAGCTCTGAATAATTTTGTAAGAGAGGTATCTGGATTCTAAATAGCCAAAATCGTGTTTTGAATTAATTATGAACCCAGGGACATGGGAGTAGTAGTTGAAATTATAGCCCTAGATTTTAAAATCCTCATAGCACTTGCCCAAGATACCAAAAATGTTTCCAAAATTTGAGTTTGTTGGAGTAACTAAGAATTCTCATTGATGACAGAACTCGGTGTAAATACATGGGTATTTACTATGATAGATGTATTCTTGTGTTTTCAGTTTCTTACCCAAGAAAACAGGGTTTTTAAATTGTGTAAATGACTGCATTTAGGAAAATGTAAAACAATGCTACAGCTGGATTTTGCATCTGGTACTGGTTTTGAGTATTTAAGCTCTGTTTAGCAAGGGAAGGGTGCTTTCTAATCTTATCACTTTGATCAATGTGGCTTTCCCCTAAATTGGCTAATGGATCAGATTGAAACCTGTCAATGTGAACTCAGCTATTGAACTTGTTACTTGTTTTTTTGCTAGAAATGTTATTCATTTAATAAATGTCAACATGGGAGAAAAAGGAATGTATGTTCTAGAATGCTTTGTGTCAGTTATTGGTTATAATGTACATTGGTGGAAAGTGTGGTGGCACATGCTTTTAATCCCAGCACTTGGCAGAGGCAAATATTTGGATAGCATGTATGTAATTCGGATGCTAAATTGAGATTTCTGATAAAGTGACTGTAAAGGAGCACCACAGCTTGTTACTCGGAGCCTATAGTTCTGAAAAAATGAGTTCCTGTCTTTCTGTTTTGGGACTGAGGATTTCACCTAGAGCCTACACACTAATGACCTTGTCTGCATGCCTGGCAGAGAGGTCAGAAGCCCTTCAAGGGTTACCTTCTTCAGTCTCAATGGAGGTGGCCGGAGAGACGATTCAGTGGTTAAGAGTACTTTCTGCTCATCCAGAGGACCTGAGGTTGGTTCCCAGCACCCACATCAGGCAGATCACAACTCATGTCGCTGCAGTGAATCCAATACCTTTTTCTGGCCTCCTCCACCACCTGCACATATGTGGCATACACTCACACAGACACACATAAACAAATACAAACAAATCTTTAAAGCAATAAAAATTGTTAATTTCTCAAAACTTCGTTTTATAAAATTCACATTTATTTTAAAAACATTACAGATTAGAATTACAATTCCTTGGCACCATGATTACATCTTTGTGGTAGTACTAGCTAGGGTAAGCAAGGAAATGACAAGTTTTTGCAAAATAAAAACTGAATGTTTTGTGATGAATGGGGTATCCTAAATTTAGATTTGTTTTGTTTTTTTTTTTGTTTTGTTTTGTTTTTTTGCTAGTGGTGCTGTGGTTTGAGAACCCAGGACTTTAATACACACAGTAAGCAAACATTTTGCCACTGAGCTATATTCTCATCCCAGACATTGGGGATCAAGTTAATGCTGCCCCAGAAAAGGTCCATGTTTATAACAAAAAGCACAAAATAAAGTATTTGAAATTTTTTCATTTATGCTCACTTCCAACAGTCATAAAAATCTTAGTCTATTCTCATCAATACAAAATGGTTCAGAAGCCAGGCAGTGGTAGTACACACCTTTAATCCTAGAGACAGGTGGATGTCTGAGTTCAGGGCCAGCCTAGTCTACAGAGCTAGTTCCAGGACAGGCTCCAACGCTACAGAGAAACCCTGTCTCAAAATACAAACAAAACAACAACAACAAAAATGGTTCAAGAATGTAATTATTTTTCTAATATTTGAGCCAGGTTTTCACTATTGTATGTATATATACATAGCATAAGCTAATTTGGAGTTATAGGGATGGACCAGACTGGCCTTGAACTTGTAACATTCTTTCTTGCCTTACCATCTTAATTCTGTTTCAAGGCCACTTCTGTCAGTACTCAACAAATGACATCTTGGGGGCTGGGTAGATCAGTTGGTACTACCTGGCCTGCACAAAGCCAGGGGTTCCATCCTCAGCACCACATAGTTGTAATCTCAGGAGTTGGGATATGTGGAGTTCAAGGTCATCCTTTGCTACACACCAAGTTAGAAGCCAACTTGGGTTACATGAATCCCTGTTTCCAAAAAATGGGACATCTCAAAATCTAATTTAAGTTAACCTCAGAAGCTGGTGAAAATACTGGTTTTGTAATTTTGGCAAATTATAAAACTTACTGAAATACAACAAATGAAAAGATCTCAAAGAATAAGGAATCAGAAAAGTGCCCAGTCACTAAACTGTCTTTTAGGAATGTAAAATCTCTATAGAGTTTATAGATTTAAAAGTGCAAAACTGGAGATTAATAATATTAAGATCCTGAATGGTCATGGTTTAAGTAACTTAATGTTTTGTTTTTCTGCTTGAAAAAATAAGAAACCACTATCTGCCTAAGACCATAGCATAAAGGTCCTTGATATATCGGGTAAAATTCTACTGTGGGTAGATGTAACACTGCAATATAATGTTTCCTAAGAGAACTGGAGGATGGAGAAACTAATTCTGTTATAGCATAGGTAAGTTTTAAATGTTCTTATTTTTAATACTTAGAATCTTTAAAAAGCCTGTGTTTTCCCATCATCCCTCAGGAAGGATGTTTTCGTCTTTGGAGGCCAACCCTTTACAAAAAGGAGCTTCTGTGACAAGGTTATATATATGATGGTTATATTAACATCCCTTAAAGAATTAAAGGGAAAGCTGGTACTTCAGTCCACTATATGAAAGGTGTAGGCAAGCGAAAAGAAAGGTATGAGATAAAATTACTGACCATTGTAGAAGAGGGGAAAAGAACACACAAATAAATACAATTAAATTAGAGTCTTACCAGACAATGAAGACTGTGCAGCCTGGTATGGAAGCACACACCTATGATCCCAGCACTTCGTAGCTGAGGCAAGGAAGTCCATGGTCAAAAATGGACAACTTTGTTTCAATCTTATTTCAAAAAAGGATGTTCAATTGGCATACTATCACAAAGTGGGTGCATTTCCAGTCTTCCTCTGAGAATTGTGAAGCTTTAAAGTGCATTAAACAGAGTTACAGGCACCATCAAGTGCCAGCTCAACAGTTCAGAAACAAGTTGTGGCCTCGTTCTCAAGAAGGCCTCTAGAAGATAAGGCAAAAGTACATCTTTAGCTCTGCTGTCCGGCCTTTCCTTAAGGGTTACATGACTGTTCAAAGTAGTGATAAAACATGCTATCTTAAAATCCAAGTAAGTGCAGAAACGGAATCCTAACTATACAACTTAGAATTCTGTGTGTTAGCTGGAGGAGAGGTACGGTGCTGACTGGACACTTGGTCCTCACACTCACTGCAGGTGCTTCTGTGCAGGAGGACTGAGTTCCCGGGTCACGGCACGTTAGAGGAGCATCTCTGAATGAGTATTGCATGGCAGGAATCACAGACTCTCACTGGCTTTGGTGAAGAAGGCAAAGGCAGCTCGTTGTCAGAGCAGGCATTGCAGAAAATTTCCCCACAGTTTCTACAGTGATGCTATTAATGGAAAAATTAGGAAGGGGGGAAAAAAAGCAGTTAGAAGCCATTTTTGTTGCCAAAATGTTTGAGCTCACTTTCTCGCCTCCTACCTTTCTTTTGGAGAGTGAAAATTCCTTCTCACAAAGCTTGCAGTGCGTTGCCTCTTTGTCTTTCAGCCAGACCAGTCCCTAACAGGTAAAGATGAATGTTAGTGTTCTAACGAGCAACACTTGTACTTAGCTCAAAAGCATGAAAACTGAAAATGCAGAATTCCTATGACCCATCATTTTTCAGAACAGGAACCCAAAAAATGCACCAGGCTCAGGCAGTAGCTCTCAGAGAGGTCAAAGGAACTTAGAAATATCAGTACATTAGGGCCCAGGTCAGATGTGGGTGGCGGCAGACTTCCAAGATAAAGTAATGAGCCACCTAACTTCTTCAGGGAACATTTGATAGAGGTGAAGAATGAGAATATTCTGGTGTTGAGATAAAACATTGGAAAATAAGTGACAGGCAATTGATACCAGGAGAAATAAGAAAGGTGTGATGAGCTGAGTGGTGGTGGCGCTTGTCTTTAATCCCAGCACTCAGGAGACAGAGACAGGCAGACCTCTGAGTAGTTTGAGGCCAGCCTCATTCTACAGAATGAGTTCCAGGACAGGCTCCAAAAGCTTTAGAGAAACCCTGTCTCAAAAATAAAACCACACACACACAAAAAAAACCCAAAAAACCCAAGATATATACTTATGACCTTTTAATCCCAGTGCTCAAGAAGCAGGACGACCCCTGTGTTTGAGACCAGCCAGGGTTAAAGTGAAATCCTGTCTAGGAAAAAAAGCTTACTGAGGTGACTTAAGGAAAAATGAGTTTGAACAAACAGCTACCACCACTTCGACAGCAAGGTGAGAAAACATGCTACAGCATGGCTCAGAAGTACAGTGTTTGTCTAGTGTGTGCTAGGCCCTTTCAGTTCCATTCCCCATACTATAAAAAGGGGGAAGTGGAATGAATTGCATTGCTCTGAATACAGAGCTAGATGCCAGAGGAGATAGCTGCGAGAACTGGAAGAAGCTCCCTTTGGGAGCAGGAGCAAATAACTAAGGTGAGTTAAAGGCAAGAGAGCAAACATTTTTTACTTGAAATCTTTTTTTAGAATGGTGCCTGGGGCAAAATGCTGCTGTTCGTCCAGAGGCCCCAAGTTCAATTCCCAGCATCTGCATGGCTCACAATCTTCTGTAACCCCAGTTCCAAGACATCTAACACCTAGTCTCTCTCTTTTTTTTAAACTGGTTCAGAGTTCTGGCTGGCATTACATCAATTACATAACATAAGCTTTAGGACTTTTTGAATAGCTATTTTCATGTAACATTTTGATTAAAAGATTAAATGGTAATTTGGAACAGAAAGCTATTACTCAATGACACTGAAGTGCTGACCCGAAGATTCCTTCCAACACACACACCCAAAGTAACACACATTCTAGCCTTATCAAAGTGATGTATCAGAGCCTATTCTAGGAGGCTAAATTGAGGGTCATCAAAGATATGTTATCTACTAACGTAGCATTACAATGTCATTTTTCATCAAGATGATGCATTCTTTAGCAGGTAATAAGTAATCCATTTCCACCTTTTAAAAAATTTCACTAAGTATGGAGCTGGTAGTCTCCAGCTCATGCCCAGGAGGCAGAAGCTGGCAGATCTGAGTTCAAGGCCAGCCTAGTCTACAGAGGACTGTGGTACAGAGAAACCTCGCCTAGAAAAAAAAAAAACGGAGGCTAGAATAGCACACCTACATTCCCTTCCAGTGCTGCCACCTCTGCCCCTGGGATTTGTATGCTTCCTTCTCAAGGCTTCCTCAACATACCAGGCTCTAAACAATTTACATTTACCAATGTTAAGAGCTTCCAGCTGTACTGAAAGCCTTTTTACTCACCTGTAATGCTTTGTTGGCTTCTTTTATGTCGTCTATTTTAAGTTTGGATCTAAAAACATTACAAACAAGTCCAAATTTTAGTATGCATGTAAATACAAAACACTTAATAGTTCATTGCAAAGGTATTGATTTTTTAATTGTATATAATTTTAGATCTAACAATCTCTGGCTAAGGGGATATTATGTATTTTTCCAAGACAGGGTTTCTGGGTAGCCCTGGCTGGCCTTAAACTCACAGAGATCCACCTGCCTCTGCCTCCCGAGTGCTGGGATTAAAGGCCTGTGCCACCATCACCTAGCTACAACTAGATTTTTCAAAAGCTTGACTGTATAAGAGAAAATGTCTCTGGATATGCATGCACAAAGCCATGGGTTAGATCCCAGTGCCATATAAACTAGCACTTCGGAAGTTACACAGCAGAAACTTAAGGTCATGTTTTGGCTACATGAGTTCTACGACAGCCTGGGATACTTGAAACCTTGTCTCAAAAAATAAACACTTGCATGAATGTGTTACTTTGTTTTGAAACAGGATTTAAATTTGGTAGTGCTGGCTGGCCAAATTTTGTGGCAATCCTGTTTCAGCTTCCTTTTTTGCCTTTTGAGACATGTAGCAGACTGGTCTTCAGTCTGGATTGGAGAAGAGCTACTACACTGACTTAAGTAAGCACTTTCGATGGAGTATCATCTGCATAGTTCTCCATAATCTGGTCCGCTCAGTGCTGGATCCTGAAGAGTGACGCCTGCTAGTTGCTACTAAGTATCAGTCACATCACACTAAATGGTTACATGGTATGCAATTTTTACCGGCTGTTGAACTTTAAACATGTTTTAATTTTCTCACCAGGGAAACTGTTTATTACATTTGAAGTGGCTGGTCATAGTGGCATATAATCCAGCTATTTGGGAGACCGAATCACTTTAATACAGGAATTCAACACTAGCCTAGACAATAAAGCAGTAGTCTTTCTCAGATCAAGAAAGGGAAAGGGGAACACAATCCTAAAAAATTGAAATGATGGTATTCTCAAATATCCCCCTCTTCCATTTATCTCTTTTTAAAAAAAATATGTATGTGAAATGTTGCTTGCATGTATGTTTGTGTACCATGTGCATGCCTGGTGACCAAAGGTCAGAAACAGGCATCAGATCCCCTGGAGACAGGATGGATCTCTAACTGGAGTTAGAGATGGTTGTGAGCTACTGTGTGGGTGCTGAGAACTTAACCTGGGTCCTCTGTAAGAGCAGCAAGTACGCTTAACCACTGAGCCAACTCTCCAGCCCGTTTCTTTGTTTTTTAAAGGCATGATCTCAAGGCTTGCCCCTTTCTACGTTGCCGAGGATGACCTTGAATTCCTGATCTTCCTGCTTCTACCTCTCAAGTGCTGAGATTACAGCCACTTTCCTGGCTTCCTATAGAATCAATAACATTTTACTACAGGATCACATTGAGTCATCGCAAGATTTGACCCCAGAAGGCATGAAAAACTATCTATAAATCACAAAACTGGCTCTGTCTCAAAACAGTCTGATAGTGCTGGACATTGTCAAAATTCAACTTATGTTCTGACAAAATTTAAGCTTCTGGATTCTTTATCACTAAAGAACTTAAACAATAGTTTTGGCCTTCACTTGATGAAACCCTTCAAAACCAAGGTCTGCTAAAATGCCCAGAACTACTCTAAAGAAGCTAGTCTTTGGTGTCCCAGTACTCAAGACCCTCTGCAGAGCTGATTTGGTACACCCATCTCTTCCACGAATCTGTAGGCGTGTAGCTGAAGGAAGAGAGGAATTACTCGCAAAGTTTGCTGCCGAGTTCTTGCAGAGCCTGTTCTTGTTCGTGATATATTTTTTTCAACTGCTGATTTTCATCCTGGAGGTTAAGAAACTCCTTCAATAAAAAACAGAAATATAACTTTAGAAAAACCAAGAAACTCTACATTGCATACATATTAAGAAAGTATAAATTTCTTTGAGCTTTGTTTTCAGGAGACTGAGGCATGACCTTGTCCTGACCCTATTTCCATTTACCAAGTGCTGGGATTACAGGAATTCCAAGCTTTGATGAGGAATTCTCAGGTACCACCCTCCACCCCCAACTTCTCTTTTTAAAATAGATTTGTGTGCGAATGTTTTGCCTGCATGTATGTATGTGTTCCATGTGCACACCTGATACCAGAGGTCAGAAGAGGGCATCAGATCCCCTGTAACTGGAGTTTCGAGATGGTTGTAAACCACCATGTGATACTGGGATTATAGCTCAAACAGGCCTGGGAGTCATGTGGTTAGGCTAAGCCTCAACCTCCTGATTGTCCTGCTTCAGTCCCCTCAGTGCACACCACACCCAGCTTCACTTCATGTTTTTATAAAAAACAGAACATATCTGAAGCTTTTTCCTAGCTGTTCTGTGTATTATTACCCACACAACTTCCTTTCATGTTCCTAAAATGACTAAGTATATCTATCCTGTTTCCTCATATACATGTAAATTGTGTAAAGTATCTTGTTTTAGAAGATGTGTTTGTAAGACAGCCCTGGTTGTTGTACTTAGGACTGCCTACCACCTCCTTTGAGTCAGGGTCTTTCATTGACCTGGAGCTCATGAATTAGGCTAGACTGGCCCGCCAGTGTGAGTCCCAGGGATGTCCCCAGAGCTGAGACTACAAGTCCTGCACGCACTTTACTGACAGCCATCCTCTCAGCCCCACGTTGTTTACAGAAGCTCACAGGCGAGACAGAATGGCCATGAGTTCAAGGCCAGCTTTTGCTACAGAACAGAGTCCACAGATAGTCTGAGCTATATAGATAGATAGCATAGTATGAAACCCCATCAACATTGGTCCGTTTTTCTTCTTTTCCTTTTTCTTGGTTTTTCAAGACAGGATTTCTCATGTTAACAACCCTAAGCTGGTGAGGAACTAGCTCTGTAGACCAGGGTAGCCAATTTTTTTTTCTTTTTTCTCTCCCCCTTCCCTCCCCCCCCACCCCCCCGAGGTTTCTCTGTGTAGCTTTGGAGCCTGGCCTGGAACTTGCTCTTTAGACCAGGCTGGCCTCAAACTCACAGAGATCCACCTGCCTCTGCCTCCCTAGTGCTGGGATTAAAGGTGTGCACCACCACCACCCGGCTGATATAAAAGTTTTACTACTATTTACTTTTTTAAGACTAATGATTTGTTGGGTCTCATTTCTAAGATGAGATAGGACATCTTTCTCCTTTTGAAGATCTTCTTGCAAAGTCTGCCTCCATTCCTTCTCAATCTTCAAATCCGTTTCCAGCTGCACCCTTGAATGGCAAACAGAAAGAAGCTCAGTGTTTAGTTGGTTCAATTTTGAGGTAGGGTCTCATGTAGCCAAGTCTAGCCTTTAAATCCTAATGCTCCTGCTTTTATCTCCTAAGTGCCAGGGTTACAAGTTGTTCTCCCATACCGTCCAGACTCTCTTATTTTTATGGATCTCTTTAAAGGCCTATTTTTTAATTACAGGTGTGAGCCACCTGGTGTGGGTGCTGAAGTTCCTCTGTAAGAGGACCAAATGCTCTTAGCCACTGAGCCATCTCTCTGGTCCCTTTTATTTTATTTATATTTATTTTATTTATTTTTTATTTTTTTAAAATATTTATTTATTTATTATGTATACAATATTCTGTCTGTGTGTATGTCTGCAGGCCAGAAGAGGACACCAGACCTCATTACAGATGGTTGTGAGCCACCATGTGGTTGTTGGGAATTGAACTCAGGACCTTTGGAAGAGCAGGCAGTGCTCTTAACCTCTGAGCCATCTCTCCAGCCCCCTTTATTTATTTTTTATATTTATTCTTATTTTACTTATATATTTTTGAGACAGGGTAGCCACAAAATTTCTATGTAGCCAAAAATGATTTTTAATTTCTGATCCTTCTGCCTTCATCTATATAACCAATGTGGGCTGTGTAGCAAGACCCTGTTTCAAAAAAAATTTCAGATAGTCTGTCATGTTTTATTTTAAAAATAAAATTAGGGGGGCTGGAGAGATGGCTCAGTGGTTAAGAGCATTGCCTGCTCTTCCAAAGGTCCTGAGTTCAATTCCCAGCAACCACATGGTGGCTCACAACCATCTGTAATGATGTCTGGTGCCCTCTTCTGGCCTGCAGGCATACAAGCAGAGAGAATACTGTATACATAAATAAATAAATAAATATTTATAATAAAATAAAATTAGGGGGCTAAAAACATAGTTCAGCAGTTAAAAGCAGTTGTTCTTCCAGAGGACCCAGGTTCAACTCCCAGCACATAGCAACTCACAACTGTCTGTAATTCAAAAGATCTGACACCCTCATGCAGACATACATGCAGGTAAAACACCGGTGCACATAAGATAAAAATAAATTATTAAATAAAATTAGGCCAGGCGTGTGGCACATACCTTTCACTCTAACACTTGGGAGGCAGAGGCAATCACATCTGAGTTAAGGGGAGTAAGAGCTATATTTTTTGAGACCCTGTCTTAGTGGGTAAAGTCTTTTGCTGCCAAGCCTGACAACCTGACTTTGATCCCACAGTCCCACATGGTGAGAAGAAAACCAACTCCCACAAATTGGCCTCTGACCTCCACCTACATAGTCTGGTTCATGCATACTAACAGAATAAATGAGTAATTTTAATTTTAAATTTAAATAAAATTAGAACCATATATTGCCTATATTTTTATATGTACAAAGAAAAGTCTTGTCCTTATTTTGTGGTGCTGAAGATTGAACATAGGGCATTATGCAAACTAAGCAGCATATATTCTACCAATGAGTTATACTGAAGCCTAGAACAGTTTTAACAGTTATACCAGAACATTTTAAAGCCACTTGGAAGAGTTTCAGCCCTTACTCTACAAGCATCACTAATATTCCTCCCCAGGAACCATGGGCTAGTTTTGTTATTAAAAGAACATGTCCTGGAGAGATGCTCAGCAGTTAAAAGACACACAGCCATGTAATTAAAAATGAAAAAAAATTTAAATGTTAGAAAATAGGAACTGAGGATGTAGCTCAGTGGAGAGAGCACCTGTGTGGTGTAAACAAACCCTAGGCTTTGATCCCAGCACCACATAAGCCAGGTACAGTGGTACCACCTATAATCCCAGTATCCAGAGGGGCAAGCAGGAAGAAGAGAGGGTCAAAGTCACTCTTGCTTATCTAGGAAATTATGTAGGCCAGCGTAGTAGCATTTCATTTGTATTTTAATAACTAAAGCTTGCCTAAAGATCAGAAAAGTAAAACAGCCACACTGGCTAGTATTATAGACCAAGCAGCAGTGACACACACATTTAATCCCAGTAGCCACACTAGTTTGCTATAAAAAACAGGCTGTGGCGGTGCACACCCTTAGTCCCAGACCTAGAGAGGATTATAAAACAGGAGGAGACGGCTCTCAGTCTCGGTCTCATTCTGAGATTCCTGGAGGCAGGATCGCCATTTCAGACTGAGGTAGAAGTGGAAGAGCCAGTGGCTGGCTGACCTTCAGGTTGAACCCCAATTTCTGTCTCTGAGTTTTTATTAATTGTGATACAGGCCTGGCATACATGAGACATGACCTCCAAAAGTAAACAGATAAAATAATAGGAGGAGTAACAATATTTTCAGTATGTGGTTTTGGAGCTTGAACCCAGGGCTTCAACAACGCTAGCAGAGTACTCTCCCACTGAACTACATCCCTATCCCAACTTTTTTCTTTTTCTAAAAATATTTATTCGTTTGGTGTAAGGAGCTGGGACGTGTGTAGATCTACCATGAGGGTCCTGGAGATGGAGCTGAGGCTTGGCAGTGACCGCTGCCTGTACCTACTGAGCCATCACAGATGTCCCCACACACCTTCTTTAAGTGGCCATACTGGCTGGCAGAAACCATATTAGTACAAGAATTTGATTCCAAGACCAAACACTCACAGCTGCTGCTCCTTCTGTGTGATCTGTCTCTGCAGACTGTCGGATTTGCTCAGACACTCGTGGGTACATCGCTCATCCTCATCTTCCGCTTCCATTTGTGCCTTCTCTGCTTGCTGCAATCTGGTGTAATTCAAATCAACTTTGGGTAAAACTGAGGCTAGAAGTAGGGTGTAAAAGGGTGAAGAAGACAAATAAAAGAAAAATGGGGAAATAGAAACATTTCTAAATGAAAACAAAGTTTGGGGGAGAACTCACAAACTCAAACATGAAAGAGCCACACAATGTCTAGAAATTGTTTTGTGATTTTTTTTCAATACAAGATATACTATGCCCAGAAAACTATCTTGAAATTTGCTTTATTTCTTGTCCATAATTAATGCAAAGCAATACAATTTTTACTGTTGGAGGATAATGATTCAAATCTCAAATATGGCTAGGTATGTTATTGCCTTTTTACAAAACCACGGGTAGCACACAGGTCTATATTAAGTGCAGAACACACCTGTTTATGTGATGCTGAGATGTGTGTGCTGGGAACCAGGTGCACTACAAGGCTAAGAGCTGAAAGAGCAACCATTCTTCTCAGTGATAGCCGTCCTAGCAGAGCTCTACATAGTTGCTCGGTTATGCAAAGCTGAATATGTATGTGCGTATGCATAAATATATATTAAGATTCAAAAAGGTTTAATGCTTGTTGGCATCATTCCCTATGGATTTTTTTAGGTTTTTATTTTATGTTTATGAATATTTTTGCTTGCATGTATGTCTGTTCACCACATACATGCCTAGTGCCCACTGAGGTCAGAAGAGGGTGTCAGGTCTCCTGAAACTGGAGCTACAGACAGTTGTGAGCCACATCGTATAGGTGTTGGGCATTGAACCCAGGTCCTCTATAAGAACATGTACTCTTAACTGCTGCGGCATCTCTCCAGCACCCTAATTTTTATTCTTTACTTTGAAGACTAAAGATTAGCTTAAAATGTTGTGGTCATTTTTTTCCCCATTTTTATTTGTTAAGTCACTGTTTCTCCCTAGACTTAGCTCCACTCCTTGCCTCCCTTGGCCATCAAGATTTGTGAGGTTTATATAAAAATATTTCCCAGGATTCAGTGGGCATTAACTGTTCACAAGAAGTCACAGAGGAATCTTGTGCCTTCATATCTGCCTCAAGACACTTAAGTAAGGCAACACATATTGCAAGTATGAAAGCCTCCCAGGAAAGGAGAGGAAGGAAGTCCCCTCTAGGTTTACACTAGATTAAGGGTTAAGGCGGCAGGGGTGGACTCAGCTTTCTCCTCTAAAGGTACAGGAAGTAAAGTAAGTGAGGTAGGCCTTGCAGTTGTGCTATCACAAAAGAGCGCTGGGGGGGGGGGGGGGGGGGATGACGACTAGAAAAACGAGGTGCTGAAGCCCAGGGCAGCGCCCAGCCTGGCTTGGAAACTGCTTTGAAATCTTAACTTTAAAAATCAGTAAGGAGCCATTAGGCAGAGTGTGCAAATGGGGCAGGGTGTGTGTGTGTGTATGTGTGTGTGTGTGTGTGTGTATGATTATCTGTGCCAACACAGCCTGAAACCAAAGGTTTCTAGTTTCCATCAAAAGATAGCTAAAAAGATAAAACCATTTGAAAATCTTGCCCTCCAAGCAGTTGAGGCTCAAATCTGCCCTCTGCACAAGGCTGAGGAGTGCATCTGGGAAGCCCAGGGCACCTGCTGTGTCTCACAGCCACCATGAAGGGCCCCTGCAGCTCCATACAACGTGAGATAGCATAAATCCTTTTCCATTTAACATAGGGTAGCGGATGGGCTCTGCGCTTTGAGTGCGTCTCAGAAGGAGATGTCTTTGACCAATTTGTACTGGTCCTGGGGGTCACTGCCAGCACTTTTCACCAATGACACTGCAATTGTCCTAGTCTGAGCTAACAAATCATTGTCACTTCATAATGGAATGGACAGAAACCAAAGACAAGAAACGGTAATAAAGATGTCCAAAATGTAAAAGTGGGGATAAAGAAAACAACAAAAAGAAAGAAGAAAAAAGAAGAAAGAGGATGTCAATAAAAGAATATTTGTGTCAGTAAGCATCAATAGTTATGTTTGTTCTAAGTAGATTCAAAGAAAGCAATGGTGAGACATGTTGACTCAACGTGACAGGGCAATGGGTACATTTTCCAACAGTAAAATGAAATGCCAGGATAAGAGAACTCCACTGACAAAATCCTATCCTGGGTTAGGCTGAGGGTCCTAGCTCAGAAAGCAACTACACTGTCAGCTCCCGCTGTTTTCACAGAGATGGCCAGTGGTGAAGAATGGGACAGTCCCACCAAAGCCTGTGCATTTTTTTTCCCAGGTCTTTGTGTTTAGTTTTATGTCACAGATATCATGCCTTTAAAAGATCTCCAAGACAGCAGCTTCAAATGAATCATCACCCTAATAAGGCAACTTGATTCCATGCAACAACCAAAAAAAGGACAAAATCTGGCTCAGTTTAGACAGACACGGGCCCTAGGCGAGGTCTCCGGACAGCTTTCTATGGCAGGTGTCAGGGGAAGAAAGGAAGGGATGGAGGGAACTCATGAGTATCGTACCTTTGCTCCAGCTGCCTCATGGCCGAAGTGATTTTATCGGTCTTTTCTTCTAGTCGGGCAATTATTTCATTTTTTTCTTTCAAGCTGTCTTCAGAGCCCTATTTATAAAAGTACAACAGCTATGGTGGGTTTGATTTTGAAACTCAAACATTAGGCCAAGCGTAGTGGTATATGCCTGGGATCCTAGTACTCAGAAGGTAGGCAGGAGTATGGGTTCAATGCCAGCCTTACTACTCTGGGGCCACTGAGGCCAGCCCGGGCAGCTGGTCCTTCTCAAAAATAACCCCATAGTAAGAATAAGATTCAGGATGCAGCAGAGAAGGGCTCAGTGAGAAGACAGACTTACCTGGAGCTCCAACAGAGTTCTCCCTCTGGAGTCCACATGGTAGGAGAGCCTACTCCTGAAATTGTCCCCTAAGTTCCATATATGCCCCAAGACACAAACACAGCGCGCACACACACACACACACACACACATACAATAATAGAAATGTTTTTTAAAAATACAACAACAAAAAACCCAACTGAATCATACCTCCATATTATTGAAAGATAACAGGAGGCCAGGCGGTGGTGGCACAAGCCTTTAATTCCACCACTTGGGATGCAGAGGTGGGTGGATCTTTGTGAATTTGAGGCCAGCCTGGTCTACAAAGTGAGTTGCACAGAGAAACTCTGTCTTGAAAAACACAACAAACATTTGAGAGGTATGAGAGATCACTTAGTGGGTAAAGGTGTTTGTTGCCAATGTGGACAACCAGAATTGCTAGAATTCCCACGATGAAAGAGAACCCACTCCACGGGTGTCCTCTGAGCTTTCCACGTGCACGCTGGTGCGCACACACAAAATAAGTGTACTAAGATGGCTGAGGGCCAGGCATGGTGGCATAGACCGTGAATCCTGCCACTCCAGAGGCAAAGACAGGCAGTTCTTTGAGTTCAGTGAGTTCCCGATTAGCCAGGGCTACATAGTGAAGAGTCTGTCACAAACGAAACCAAAACTTTGAAACAGAGCCTGGAGAGACAGCTCTGCTTTAAGAGCACTTGCTGGGCTGGAGAGATGGCTCAGTGGTTTAGAGCACCGTCTGCTCTTCCAGAGGTCCTGAGTTCAATTCCCAGCAACCACATGGTGGCTCACAACCACTTGTAATGAGATCTGGCGCCCTCCTCTGGCGTGTGGGCATACATGGAGGCAGAATGTTGTATACATAATAAGTAAATAAATCTTTAAAATAAAAAAAAAAAAAAAAAGAGCACTTGCTGCTTTGGCAGAGGGCCTCAGTGTGGTTCCCAGCAACTCAAGTTCCAGAGGATTCTATGCCCTCTTTGGACCTTCATGGGCACAAGGCATGCATGTGATACACATTCATACATTCAGGCAAACCACTTAAAAATCAATCTATATCTTTAAAAATGTTGAAATTTAAAAGTAAGTTGGGGAGAGGGAAGAAAACATATTTGGGACTGGAGCTGTAACTCAAAGATGGGGTGATGCATCTGTATCATGATGAAGCCCAGGGCTGGATCTCAGCACCCAAAAACTAAATTGACAAAGAATTAGGGCCATTTTTTTGTGAATTTGTAGATGGATCATATACAAGGCAGTTATTGCCTGCAGTAACAATGAAGTAAATTAAATAAATAAATTAAATAAAGTGTCATACTGGAAAACAAATCAGGGCCAGTGAGACGGCTGAGAAGGGAAAGGCACACGGTAGCAAGCCTGAGGATTTGAGTTTGATCTCCAAACCCTCAGGGTGGAAGGAGGGAACTGGCTCCCACGTTTCTCCTCTGACTTCACACGTGCATGTCTGTGCTGTAATCCCGGCGCTCAGGGAAGCAGAGGAATGCAAACTCTGTGGAGGTGAGACTCTGTTGTGGTTCAAATGAGAACATGACCTCCCACAGGCTCAGGTCCCAATGGGTGGTACTACTTCTGGAGATTGTGGAATAATATTTTTGTTTGTTTTTTTAAGACAGGTTTTCTCTGTGTAGCCCTGGTTCTTCTAGAACTAGCTCTTGTAGACCAGGCTGGTCTTGAACTCACAGGGATTCACCTGCCTCTGCCTCCTGCGTGCTGGGATTAAAGGCGTGCACCACCAACGCCAGGCCTTTAGAGGTTGGGCCTCACTGGAAGAAGGGAGTCACTGGGATGGGCCTTGAGGAGCACAGCCTGGCTACCCTTCCTGTCCTGACTGTGAGTAGCTTCAGTAGCTAGGGCTACACTCCACTTCCACTACTGCCATCCCCACATAACTGACTCTCCTCAAACTGTGAGCTGAAATAAATCCTCCTTTAAATTACCTCAGGGCAGGCTCCCTGTCCCAACAATAAGACAAACAGACCATCTCAAAAGAAAAAAGATCCAGGAGTAGTGGCACACACTTTTAACTCCAGCACCCAGGAGGCAGAGGCAGGTGGGTCTCTTGAGTTTGAGGCCAGCCTGATCTACACAGTGAATTCCAGGGTAGTCAGGGCTACACAGAGAAACCATGTCTTTGAAAAGAAAGAATGAAATCAGGGTGGAGATGGCTCAGCGGCGCAGCATTTGTCCAGCATGCAGGAAGCTCGGGGCTTGATCCCTAGCAATGCCAAGAATGAAAGAACATTCTGTACCTGCAGCTTTTGGTACATCTCAATGTTGATTGCTTTGACTTCTTCCAGCTGTTGCCGAAGGCCTATGAGGGTGTCTTGTTTCTCATGAATGTCTTTCTCCAACAACTTCATAGCAAGCTCAATCTCATGTTTCATGCCAACTTGTACCGATAGCTCATTCTCCACATCCTGCAATTTCACAGCGTCTTCATGAACAGGTTATTTCAGGTCATTGAAATCGGACGTGCAACCATTAGCAATACCAGGGACAGTGTCTTACATCTGTCACTGAACAACCAGCCTGCCTGGTGTGGGGGCTCACATGTGCAGTCCTAGCACTGAAGAGAATGTGACAGGAGGATTGCTGTGAGTTCAAGGCCGGCCTGGGCTACACAGGGAGATTCTATTTCAAAAACAAAGTCTGGGTGTGCTGGTGCACACTTTTGATTCCAGCACTCCTCAGGAGGCAGACACAGGGGGATCTCTGAGTTTGAAGACAGGTGGTCTACAGAGTTCCAGGCCAGCCAGAACTACACAGTGAGATCATGTCTCTCCTAGTTTGCTTTCCATTGCTGTGATATAGCATGAAACAAAAGCAGCTTGGAAGAGAAAGGGTTTATTTGGCTTAGAGGTTACAGTCCGTTACAAGCAAAGACAGGAACCTGGAGGCAGAGACCAGAGAGGAGTGGTTCTCAATATGTGGGTCACGGCCCCCAACAGACCAATGGAAAACACAGATACTTAAACTAGCAAAATTACTGTTATGAAGTAGCAATGAAAATAATTTTACAGTTGGGGGGCCACCACATGAGGAACTGTATTAAAGTAAAGGGCTGCAGTGTTAGCAAGGTTGAGAACCACTGTCACAGAGCCATGCTGCTTGCTGACTTGCTCCCCATGGTTTGCTCAGACTACTTTCTTCTTTATACAGTCCAGGGTTACCTGTCTGCAGTGGCACTGCCCACCCTGGGCTGAACCCGCACACGTCAATCATTAATAAGAAAATGCCCCACAGACTTGTTTACATGTCAGTCCGACGGAGGTGTTTCCTCAACGGAGGCCCTCTTCCCAGGTGACTCTAGTCTGTGTCAAGTTAAGAAAACCTACCCAGGACACTGCTGTGCAAATGGGTTCTTCTCATTGGTTTAGTAGAGCACTAAGAGGCCAATAGCTAGGCAGGAAGACATTAAGAGGGATGAAGAAGGTGGAGTTGACAGCCGGATGCAGAGGAAGCAGAAGATGAACATGCCATGCTAAAAAAAAGGTACTGGCACATGGTAGAGCACAGATAAAAAATACAGGCTAGTTCAAGTTGTCAGAGCTAGTTACTAACAAGCCTAAGCTACTGGGTGATCATTTATAATTAATAATAAGTCTCTGTGTGGTTATTTAGGAACTGGTTGGTGGGACAAAAAGTCCACCTACTATAGTCCACCAGTATCTCAAAAAAAATTTTAAGAAGTTTGCTAAGGTTAAAGAGTGTACTGACAGGCAGGCAGTGCCAAGGCAGTGACAGTAAGGATCTGCTATGACTTACTAACTACACATGTGCATTTTCATGGATGTTCCACTGAAAGCTAAAGTTTTAAATATGACCTTGCTAATATTTACATATTTCACTGTGTCCTCTTACACATTGTTTCTGGAATGGTGGTCTGCATTCACACTTCAACCACAGACTAGAAAGTTTTCAAAAGACGAAGAGGGGCTGGAGAGATGGCTCAGAGGTTAAGAGCATTGCCCTCTCTTCCAAAGGTCCTGAGTTCAATTCCCAGCAACCACATGGTGGCTCACAACCATCTGTAATGGGGTCTGGTGCCCTCTTCTGGCCTGCAGGCATACACACAGACAGAATGTTGTATACATAATAAATAAATAAATTAAAAAAAAAAGACGAAGAGATGTGGGGGGGGGGGGTGTTTGAGACAGGGTTTCTCTGTAGCTTTGGAGCCTGTCCTGGAACTAGCTCTTGTAGACCAGGCTGGCCTCAAACTCAGAGATCCACCTGTCTCTGCCTCCTGAGTGCTGGGATTAAAGGCGTGCACCGCCACCGCCAGCAAGAGATGTGTTTTTAAAACTTTAAGAACTTTAAGAACATTGGGCTTGCAACATGGCTCCACGAGCATCACAGTGAGCTTTATGACACAACTAGGATCACGTGAGGGTGTTTCTGCCCAGGGATGTCTTGATAACTGGGCAGTGCAGTTCCTGGGGCTGTATGAGGCTAGCCCAGCTTGAACCTGGGGCAGAGGCAAGCTACCATGACTTCCCCCAATGAAGGGCTGTGACCCACCCTTTCCTCCCCTGCGTGGATTCAGTGCTTTATCACAGCAAGGGGACTAGAACAGTGGACAAAGGTGTCTGCTACTAAGCCTGGTGACCTAAGTTCAGTCCCTGTGATAGGAGAGAACTGACCCTGGGAAGTTAGCCCTCTGACCTCCGCACATGCGCCATGACGAGTGTGCGCACACAAAATAAACACAAAAAAAGAGTCAGTGTACTGAGGGTGTCAGCTTCCACTCCACGTCCAGGAAGCTAAGGCCGCAGCATGAATGGTGCCGCTTGAGAGTAAGTTATCCCCAAGACGCCCTACCTGCCGCAGCTGGGACTCGTCTCGAAGCTGCCTTCTGGCATCGTTATACATTTCGTCTAGACCTTGCCGGGAATGCTTGTACGTTTGAAGCTCAGTTTCCACATCCACTTTGGTAACCTAGGAAGAAGAGGCCACACTGTCACGTGGTGCTCTGTCATGGCACACAGCTGGCCCACGTGACTCTGGACCCGCCAGCTCTGCAGCCGCTCCTCACCTCCAGGTGCTGCCGCGTTCTCATTAAGATCAACTCGTTCTCACTCCGCAACTGATGGTTTTCTTCCTGGAGCTTAATGATGTTGTTCTTCGCTATGGCTAACTGCAAATCGTGAAGCAGAAACAAAAAGCCACTCTGCGCGTCTTTCTGTAGACTCGCCATTAGGTCTGGGGCTACAAACCGGAGGAAACAAACCCTAAAACCAGCAGGGGATCTGGTGCCCTCTTCTGGCCTACATGGGCACCTGGCATGCATGTAGGCAAAGCAACCATACGCATATACTTTTTGTTTTGTTTTTGTTTTTCGAGACAGGGTTTCTCTGTGGCTTTGGAGCCTGTCCTGGAGCTAGCTCTTGTAGACCAGGTTGGCCTTGAACTCACAGAGATCCGTCTGCCTCTGCCTCCCAAGTGCTGGAGTTAAAGGTGTATGCCACCACCGCTCGGCTTTTTTTTTTTTAAAGGTATATTCTTTTTGTCTTGTTGCATTTTTTTAGACAGGAACTCACTATATCACCCTGGGTGAACTTGAATTCAGATCTGTCTGCCTATCCCCAAATGCTGGGATACCAGGCAGACCTACCATGCCTGACTATATTACTCTTCTCACTATTTCTTTTTTTAGATATTATATGTGTATGTGTTTTACCTGCACATCACATGTGTGCCTGGTACCCAAAGAGGTCAAAATGGTATTGGAGGCTGGGTGGTGGTGCCACGCACCTTCAATCCCAGCATTCGAGGGGCAGAAGCCAGCCTGGTCTACAGAGCAAGTTCCAGGATAGCCAGGGCTACACAGAGAAACCCTGTCTCAAAAATAAATGAATATGCCGGGCGGTGGTGGCACACGCCTTTAATCCCAGCACTCGGGAGGCAGAGGCAGGCAGATCTCTGGGAGTTCGAGGCCAGCCTGGTCTACAAGAGCTAGTTCCAGGACAGGCACCAAAGCTACAGAGAAACCCTGTCTCGAAAAACCAAAATAAATAAATAAAATAAATAAATACATACATACATACATAAAAGAGAGTGCTGAATTCCCTGCAGCTGGTTGTGAGCCACCTTGCAGATGCTGGGGATTGAACCTGGGTCCCCTGCCCACAGCCATCTTCTTAGTCCTCACACTATTTTTGTTCACAGCTGAAACACAGGCTCATCTGCTAGATTTGTGAGAAACTGCTCGTCAGACTCACAATGTGTGGACTACAATGCGGGAGGAAGCACACAAGAGTTCTGTGTAAACCAAGCACACTGGGGCTGGAGAGGTGGCTCAGTGGTTAAGAGCACTGGCTGCTTTTCCAGAAGAACCAGGTTCAATTATTCCCAGCACCCATGTGACAGCTCACAGCTATCTGTAACCCTAGGTCTGTAACTCTAGTTCCAGGGGATCCGACACCCTCACACAGACATACATGCAGACAAAACACCAGTGCACATAAAATATAAGTAATCATTAAAACAAGCACACTGTAAAGACTTGTGTAAATGGGAAAAAGGTGCTGTTTGAAAATGTGGTAAATGTTCATGGTGACTCAACAGGACACAGGTGTCCCCACTGTGACGGAAGTCACACTTCATGAATTAGGAATCTGTGTGGCTTTTGTCTCTGGGGCTGACTTCTAGTTACTGCCTATAACAAACAAGAGCACCACCAGGCAGTGGTGGCTCAAGCCTTTAATCCCAGCACTCGGGAGGCAGAGGCAGGTGGATCTCTGTGAGTTTGAGACCAGCCTGGTCTTCAAGAGCTAGTTCCATAGTTACTGAGAAACCCTGTCTCGAAAAACCAAAGAACAAACAAAACAAAACAAACAGTACCTCAGAGTCACAATTAGGAACTTAAGGTCTATGTGGGTTCTCAAGAACTTACAACCCGGGGGACTTGATTGGGGGAGGGGGAGGGAAATGGGAGGCAGTGGCGGGGAAGAGACAGAAATCTTTAATAAATAAATAAATTTAAAAAAAAAAGAACTTACAACCTTCAACTGCAAATGTCCCACTATGGAAGGTGTGTGTGTGTGTGTGTGTGTGCGTGTGTGTGTGTGTGTGCACTGGGGGATGGATGCTGACAGCATTCACACTTAGAAAAGATCACAGACAGTAGGGTACTCAGACAGACGTCCACTGCTGGGGCAGTACCTCTTCGATCAGCTTCGTGTTTGACTTTTCTAGCGAGTCAACTCTTGAATGGAGGCTGCTGACTGTGCTGCTGCAATTGGCAAAGAGAACGGACTCATTCAGCATCACACAAAACTCACACTGCCAGGTCAGTACGCTTCCTCGGACTCATGTTTACTGACATGTACCAATGACCCAGAACAGTTCATTGACCTGGCTAACTTGATCTGAAACAGCAATAACAGCCGCAGCAAAAGAATCGGCATTTCTATATAAATTCCTCTGGGTGCCTGTTTGTTAGATGCCAGCACTGTGTCTAGGGCGCTGTGCAGGTGAGGCAAAGGCTCTACCGTGGAGATGCATCAGCAGCCTTAGGGGCACTTTGTTTTAGTTTTGGCTTTGGGATTTTTGTTGTTATTGTAAGACAGGGTCTTGTTTAGACCAGGCTGGCCTCAAACTGACTTACAAGCAGAACGTTGAACTCCTGACCCTCCCACTGCTCCTTCCCCAGTGCTGGGGTTATTACAGGTGTGCGACACCACACCCAGCTCTCTGTGTACCACTAATGTCTGCTGTGCATCTAGCCCGCCCTGCACGCTCCTCTCAAAAGCACTGAGGAGGCAAGCATGCAAAGATGCTGCGTACAAAGGATGGGGATTAAGCTGGAAACAAAGGCGGCCCTGAAGTGAGGTTCTCTGCCGAGGTCAGGTGCTCTAACACTTACCTGAGTTGTCTATTCAGTTCCTCAACGTAATTCTTTTGGTCTAAGATGGCAGCAATTTGAACATTCCTGTGGTGGGAGGAAAGGGTAGTTTAAAATGTATCTAAAGCATCTGGAAATGGTTATAAAACTCGCAGTGATAAAATATGGCTTGGCTTTTAACACAGGCTGTCACAGCAGAAAACTGGGCCCTAGGAGCTTTGCTGACTGAGTTACTTGCTAATGTATCATTAATACATCTGAAACAGACCCAATTAGATAATAAGCCACCGCTGTCACAAAATATGGTTATTAAGGTGTCTCTCATCAAGGACTGATTACAAGCAAGACTCCTATTGTGGACCAAAGCTGACCTGTCTAAAGGATTTTCCTTGTCCACCCTGTAGAGCTTTAAAAGGAAGTAGAAATGACAAGGCAGGGAGGGAAGAGCAGAAACCACACCATAAACAGACAGCACAAGTTCATTTGCAAATAGTTATGCAAAGCTACAACCCCTGGGTGACCCTAGGTGGGAGTGGGGGGGAGTGCAAGCCAGAGCTACTCACAGAGAAACCCTGTTTTGAAAAATATAAACAGAAGGGCAGTGGTTGCATGCACCTTTAATCCCAGCACTTGGGAGGCTAAGACAGGCGGATCTAGGACAGGCTCCAAAGCTACAGAGAAACCCTGTCTGGAAAAAACAAAACAAAACAAAACAAACAAACAAAACCACCACCAACAACAACAAACAAAAAACAAAACAAACAAACAAAAAAACCAAAACCTAAAACTGGGAAATAAGGAGGAAAACAGGAAAATATACCTTTCTTTGTTTCCAATCTCTTCTTCATTCTTTAAATACATTGAGAAATCAATCACTCCAACCTGAAATTAATAAATAGATTTTTATTTAAAGAGAAGAAATTCTCCTCCACAAGTCTGGTGTGAGGCAGTCTTGTCCACCTCCACTGGCCTGAGAGATGGTAGGTCACAAGAGCACGCTGTGGGTATGGCTAGGAGGGCCTTCCAGTGATGTTTCCTTCATGATAGTGCTGACCTCAAGCAGTGGCCGACCTTTCTGCCATAATGTTCCTTCCATGCCACAGGCCCATAGCAAAGAGCAAGCTAGTTAGAGGCCTCTGAAAATAAACCCTTTCCCAACTTTGTGCTGATCCCTCACAGACTCCTGTATTTTAACACTTGGTCCCCAGATGGCATCACTGTTTGGGGAGATTATGGAACCTTTGGGTGGTACCGCCTGACTGAAAGAAATGTGATCATGTGTAAGCTTTCAGGGTTTACAGACACCCCCTTTCCCATCCTCTCCCTCTACTTGAGAGGGGCTTCCTGTTTCTGTGGTCATGCCACGCCTTCCCCACCATTAAGGACTCTAGCTCTCTGCAACCCTAAGCCAGAATAAACTTTTTCTTTTTTTTATACTTATTTATTTATTATTTATACAATATTCTGTCTGTGTGTATGTCTGCAGCCAGAAGAGGGCACCAGATCTCATTACAGGTGGTTGTGAGCCACCATGTGGTTGCTGGGAATTGAACTCAGGACCTTTGGAAGAGCAGGCAATGCTCTTAACCACTGAGCCATCTCTCCAGCCCAATAAACTCTTTTTCTGTAAGTCTCTCTGGGCGTGGTATTTCATCATAACCACAGACAAGTAACTAATACTTAAACTGTTTCTTTTTTCTTTTCTTTTCTTTTTTTTTTTTTTGTTGTTGTTGTTTTGTTTTTCAAGACAGGGTTTCTCTGTGTGTAGCCCTGGCTATCCTGTAACTCATTCTGTAGACCAGGCTGGCTCAAACTCACTGAGATCCATCTGACTCTGCCTCCCAAATGCTGGGATTAAAGGTGTGTGCCACTACTGCCCAGCTTTTTTTATTATTATTTATTATTTATGTATTTTCTTTATAAGATATGAGTGCTAGCCGGGCGGTGGTGGCGCATGCCTTTAATCCCAGCACTCGGGAGGCAGAGGCAGGCGGATCTCTGTGAGTTCGAGACCAGCCTCGTCTACAAGAGCTAGTTCCAGGACAGGCTCCAAAGCTACAGAGAAACCCTGTCTCAAAAAAAACAAAAAAAAAAAAAAACAAAAAAAAAAAAAGAAAGAAAAGAAAAAAAGATATGAGTGCTGTCTGCATATGGGCCTGCATACCAGAAGAAAGTATCAGATCTCATTGTAGATGGTAGTGAGCCACCATGTGGTTGCTGGGAATTGAACTCAGGACCTCTCGATGAGCAGCTGGTGCTCTTAACCACTGAGCAATCTCTCCAGGCCACATAAGCTGTTTCTATCGGGTGTTTAGCTAACATAACACGCAACTGAATCTTGTGTTTAGCAGCACTGTGTGCCACTTCAAGGAGCCACTCGGGTCCAGGAAGAACCAGGTGTAATGAGAACACTGGCTTGTCTTATTTGCGTTCACTCACCTGGGAGTCAAGATCCTCGCCCTTCACACACAGATTGGCATCAATGACGTTCAGACCGACCAGCAGCCCAACAATCACAGCTCCTTCTTCCTCCATCATTAGTGCGTGGTACTCGTAGAACTCACTGGAGACATCAGAACGGGGACGTCATCCCCTCCCCTCCCCCACCGTCCATCTTGTAGACATAGAAATAACCTAAGTTCCTCTAAAGTGCACTCTGAACACTTAACTTGTAAAGAGGCTTCATGTCTCCATAGGAAATTAAAGAACTGAAGGAGATAGAAAAGAAGGAACAACACTGAGGGAAGAACAAGGAAGAGCAAAAGAAGAAAGAAAAGAAGAAAGGGCATGAACGCTTATGCCTCGAATCCCAGAATCCCAGTACTCGGGAGGCTGAGACGGGGATTGCTGTGAGTTCAAGACTACCCTGCATCACAAAGTGAGTTCAGGTCAGCCTGGGCAGAAAGTTAGAACGTCGCTTTTTTTTTTTTTTTTTCTCAAGACAGGGTTTCTCTGTGTAACCACCATGGCTGTCCTGAAACTTGCTCACGTAGACCAGGTTGGCCTCAAACTCATGGAGATCCACCTGCCTCTGCCTCCAGAGATCTGGGATTAAAGGAGTGCACCACCACTGCCCAGTAGACCATGCTTTTTAAAACATTATTATTGTATATGTTTGAGTGTTTTGCCTGCATGCATCTATGTGTGCCGCATGCGTACAGTGCCCGCAGAGGCTATAAGGCGGCATCAGAGCCCCTGGAACTAGAATCATAGACAGTGTGAGCTGCCATTACGGATGCTGGGACCTGAACCCAGGTTTTCTAGAAGAGCAGCCAGTACTCTTAACAGCTGAGCCATCTCTCCTGCTTGCGGAACCTTGTCTCAGAGTCGGGAGAGAACGGAGCAACCCCGAGGCCTGGAACACTGTTTCTCAGGACTCAGTAACTGCTGCTAACCTGATGATGACACAGCCAGAGCTGAAAGTTCAGCCCCCAAGTTCATTAAGACCTTCGGAGCAGCTGGTGGTGGCAGCGCACGCCTTTAATCCCAGCACCTGGTCAGCAGAGGCAGGCGAGTCCCCATGAGTTTAAAGGACAGCCCCTAGCCAGCCAGGGCTACACAGTGATACCCTGTCACTAACAAACACATTTATTTTATGTGTTTGAGTATTTTGCTTGTGTGTATGTATGTGTACCATGTGTATGTATGCCTGGTGCCTTTGAAGGCCAGAAGAAAGCACAGCATCCCCCAGAACTAGATGGCTGTGAGCCGCTGTGTGTGTCCTGGAAACAGAACCCTGGTTCTCCGCAAGAGCAACAATTGCTCTTAGCCACTTAGCCATTTATCTAGTCCTCTAAGTGTTCTTAGCGGGAAGATGATTATCCACTAAGGACGCATGGATATAGCTACAGTCTAAGACGTGTCCACGCCAGACCTGGCCCCAGGATGGTGGTCACCTGTATCCTAGCACAAGGAAGATAGAGGCAAGAGGATCAAGAACTCAGGGTCATCCTTGGATATACAGCAAGTTCAAGATCAGTCTGTGCTATCTGAGACCCTGGTGAGTGAGTGAGTGAGAGAGAGAAAGAGAGAGAGAGAGAGAGAGAGAGAGAGAGAGAGAGAATACTGCTGAGAAACCCCAGAGCTTCAACTATGGCCACTGTCATTTAACAAATAGAAAACCTGAGACGTGAAAACAGAGTCACAGGAAAACTAAACCCAGGATGGTTTTTCCAAAACACCAGAGAGGCAGGCCGCGGGAACCAGAATAAGGGTCGCCCTGGGCCCACTCTTGAAGGCCGATTGCCTTGCTCTGAAAGTTGTCTTCAACATCTGATCTTCAATTAAACCCTGCCCAGGAGACAGCTGGAACATTCGTTAGGACACTGAAGATCTTAAGAAGAGATGTGCAATTAAACCCCAAGTCCCAATGCAAATTTGTATCCAGAAAATTACAATTCAGAGGAAGGGAATCAACTTGGAAACATGCTTAGGTTAGCCCATGTTGGGGGATAAAAAGCAAGTGGTATCTGTCCTAGGCTAGCTCCTCACTGATGCTAATCACTGCAGTGTCCTTTGCTTTCTCATTTTGCTCTTCTCTTATTTTATGGTATTTCATAGCCCTTTCTTCACCTCTTTTTGGACGACAAGCTATAAATGAAATAAAAATAAGCATGGAGTAATGACACTGACCTCAGCAGCTCCCGCTGGATAATCAAGCAACGCAGGTAATCGGCCATTTTCTTTTGCATGAGGGCTAATCGGAGCCACGCCCTAGCTCGACCCAGGGGGGTCCTGGAAAGAAGGTCCAGTTAGAAAACAGTCTTAGGGCTAAAATCACGGCCACCTGCTCCCTATCTGTGGAAGTACATGACAAAGAAAAAGGCATTTTATCATGTTTTTTTTTGATCTTTAGAATGTGTGTGTGTGTGTGTGTGTGTGCGCGTGCAAGGCAGACCCACGCTCTTTTGACCAAGAGGGCACCTGTGGGAAGCAAAGACTGGCCTTGGGATGACTTTCCTCTATCGCTTCTCCACTCTATTCTATTTCTAGGCGTGGTTTCTCAGGGAACCTGAATTGTGCTACCCAGTGGGGGCTTCTGGGCTTTGCTTGTCTGCCTCCTCGCCCAGCAGCACCTAGTTTTTTGTTTTTGTTTTTTTTTTTAAGATTTATTTATTTATTATGTATACAACATTCTGCCTCCATGTATACCCGCATGCCAGAAGAGGGCACCAGATCTCATTACAGATGGTTGTGAGCCACTATGTGGTTGCTGGGAATTGAACTCGGGACCTCTGGAAGAGCAGCAATGCTCTTAACCTCTGAGCCATGTCTCCAGCCCCAGCACCTAGTTTTTGCATGGATTCTGAAGATATAAACGCAGGTGTTCATGCCCGTGTAGCTCAGCACTTTACCCACCGAGCGATCTTCTTTTATCTTATTTTATGTGTATGGGTGTTTTGCACACATCTATAATGTATACAGTGCCTAGAGAGGCAAGAAGGCACTGGATCCCCTGGTGGCAATATAAACAGTCGTGAGCCACCACGTGGGTGCTGACAAATCAAACCCACGTCCTCTCAAATAGCCGAGCCCTCTCTCTAGCCCCATATGCTAGTTTTTTTGAGCAAGCAATTCTACCTTTAAGAGGTCAGCGAAACCTGCTCTGGTAATGTGGGGTTTTTGTTTTTTTGAGATTTTATTTTTATTTATGTATGTGTTTGCCTGAATGTATGCTTGTGTACCATGTGGGTGCAGAATCTGCCCGCGGAGGCCAGAGTGGGTATAAGAACCCCAAGACTAGAAATACAGATGATTATGAGCCACCACGTGGGTGCTAGGGTCGAACACAGGTTCCTTGGAAGAGTAGCTGCTGCTCTTAACCATTGAGCAACCTCTCCAACCTCAAGTTATTAAGTACCACTGTATGCTTTGGAAGAAAGAACCCTCTGAACATTACCTCTATAGGACGTATTATATCACAGTAGAATGGGCCTTCATATCTACAATATGACACCATGGCACATGAGTGTCCATGCGCGCGCACACACACACACAGATACATACAGACATAAATGGGGGGGGGATGACTAAGTCATCTTATTCGTAAGGATTAAGGGTGGTGAGATGGCTCAGTGGGTAAAGGGTGCTTGCCAAACAATCCTGATGGCCTGAGGTCCAGCCTCAGATCCCACAGTGCCAGAAGCCTAACCCTGAAAGTTGTCCTCTGACCACCATGGCACCCACATGCCCTCACTCCCACATATACACATCACACATATGTTCTCATGTGTGAGCACACACACACACGGACACAAGTAACAATATTTAACAGGTAAAAGAATGGCGGAGCCAGACATGATGGCACATGCTTTAGTCCCAGCACTCTGGAGGCACAGGCAGGCAGAACTCTGAGTTCGAGGCCAGCCTGGTCTACATCGCGAGTCCCAAGACAGCCAGAGCTACATAACGAAACCCCAGCTCAGGAAAACAACAAGCTCACAGCAGTGGTGCACGCCAGGGTTCGGGAGGTGGGTGAGCTTGAGGCCAGCCTGGTCTACAGAGTGGGCTCCAGGACAGTCAGGGCTGCACAGAAAAACCCTGTCTCAAAAAAAAAAAAAAAAAAAAAAAAGTTCTTACCCAAAATAAGTTTTCAACATTTATGATTTCTGAGCCAGAATGCACCAGCTCTCTCTGGCTTTTTTTTTTTTTTTTTTTTTGATTTTGACAGGAACTCACTCTGTGGCCCAGGCTGGCCCTGAACATACAGAGATTTACCTAGCTTGGCCTCCCCACTGGTGTCTCAGTGGCTAATTCTTAATCCTTGAGGAAGGGACTTAGGGACATTTAACGAAGGAAACTGTGTGCTGAGTTACAGACTGGGCGGGGCTTTGGGGGAAGAAAAGGAAGCAGTGCTTAGACTGAGGAGCAAGAGGCCGACACATGAACTTCTCGGGATGAGCAACCATAATACTTACTTAAGGCCAGGCAAATCCCGGACACTTGCTCCGATTTCCTCTGCTTCTGGATACAGCTTCTCCACCAGTTCCAGAGGGCCCCAAATAGTTTTATTATAACTCAAAAATGATTTTCTCACTGGAAAAAATATAAAGTACAATTTCAACTAGTGAAATGGGATAACATCATCTTGAGTGTTTAGCTAGAGATCTGGAGAGACGGTTCAGGGGCTGACAGTGCCTGTTCTTCAGGCACGAGGAGGACTGAGCAAATCCCAGCACCCACGTGACGAGCTGGGTATGGCTGTGTGTGCCTGTAACCACAGTGTTGGAGGGTGGAGATGGCAGTCCTGAGGGTTTGCTGGCTAACCTGCCCAAGTGAACCTATGAGCTTCCAGTTCAGTGAGAGAGCCTGTGTTAAGACAGAAAGACACTGTCCTTCTCTGGCATGCATACACACACCTATAATCCTAGCTCTATGAAAGGCTGAGACATGGAGGTCAGAAGTTGACGTCCTGTCTCAATATAAAGGAAAGAAGGCTTGAGACATACCTCAGTGGTAGGGCATTTGCTCAGTACGCACAGGGTCGGAGGTTAACACCTAGCACTGTCAGAAGTAAGTTAATGTGTAGACACATATGTACATACACATATCATTGGCTGTTCTTCCATATCAGGAACATCCAAGTAACTGAACGACGGCCTGAGCCTTTCTTTACCAACACCAAAATAAAAAGATTGGATGGCCCAAGCAGGGCGACCTTCATAAGTCTATTAAGTAAATCAAGCACAGAGCCAGGTATGGGGGCACACACCTGGAATCCTAGCACTTGGGAGGTCACGGCAGAAGAGTCAAGTTTAAGCCATGGACTACAGAGAAAGTTCAAGATCAGTTGGGAAACTCTGCAGCATCTTGTCTCAAAATTTCTGAGAAACGTTCAGAGTTTTGAAGGCACAGGAGATGAGTTCAGTGGCAGAGGCCAGCCTAGAACGCACGAGGCCCTGGGTTGAGTCTCCAGCACCGAAAGCAAAGGGGAGCACAGTAAAGGTGGCTTCCTTCTAAATACCTGCAGCTGCAGCTTCTAGTCTGACGTCAGGTGGCATAAAAACATTTGGGCTGGGGATACAATTCAGCTGGTAGACTGCTTGCCCACCATGCAGGAAGCCTTGGGTTTGAGCCTAGTGCTGCGTGAAAACCTGAATGCCATAGCCTAAGCCTATAATCAGGGAGGCGGGAAGTGCTTGCAGCCGGATCAAGAGTTCAAGGCCAGCCTGGTCGGTGTGTTTAGGACAGTCAAAGTCACAGGAAGACGCTCAGCCTCAAAAACCAAAACAAGTAAACAACAAAAAAAAAAAAATAGTTCAAGGTCACCAGGTATAATTGTAGATGCCTTTAATCCCAGTGCTCAGGAGGCAGAGACAGGGGGATTTCTGTGAGTTTGAGGCCAGCGTGGTCTACAAAGCAACTTCAAGGACAGCCAGGGATACGTAGAGACCCTGTCTCAACCTCCCACCCCCAAAAAGTTCAAGGTCACCGTCAGTTACACAGCAAGTATGCTACAAGAGAGACTGAGTCTCGGACTGCTATTGAGGACAAGGGTTTGGTTCCCAACCATTTTATCAGGTGGTTCCAGGGGATCTGATGCCCTCTTCTGGTGTCTTTGAGCACTGCATGCAGGCAGTGCACAGGCAAATGTAATCATTAAAATAAAACAACCAGACTTTCTGGAGATACAGTGTGGCTATCATCCGCATCCCCTAAGCAAGGACGGCCACCAAGAGCAACTTTACTGTGGGGAGAAAAATCCCAAGGCTAAAATGGCTTTGCAGTGATGCATAAGGATAAACCTGTGACCACAGCGATGTATAACTATTCACTGAGGTTATAAAATAAAGGATAATACTTCCTGAAAGTAATTTAAAATTCAGCTATTTTGACCATGATTATTAAATTCCAATTCAGCAATTTAGGGGAGAAGAAAGAATTTTTATCACTGCCATAAAACAAAACAAAAAACCCTAAGCCAAAACATAAATAGAGGCAGGCTGGAGAGCTGGCTCCTGAGTAAGGCATCCCCCTGCAAGCTTGACCCTGACTTCAATCCCCAGGTCATGCAGTGGGAGGGAAGAACTGAACTGCAAGTTGTCCTCTGGCCCCCAGTCACACCCTGGAACATAACTGAAGCCTCCTTGATGCAATCACAGCACCTGGAAGACGGACTGAGAAGATGACCCGGGGTAAGAGAATGAACAGCTCTGTCAGAGGACCTGAGTGAGCTCCCACTACCACCTGCAACTCCAGCTCCACGGGATCTAACGCCTTAGGCCTCCAGCATCTGCATTCACGAATACACACCCCTCCACACACACATACACCCGCATAGACATACGTAATTTAAAAAAGTTTAAAAATCCTTTTTAAAACTATCTGTGGGCTGGACAGTTAAGAGCCCTTGCTGTTCCTCCAGAGGTATAGAATTAGGTTCCCAGCGTTGAGGTGAGAAGGCCCCAACCTTTTCTAACTCTCTTCTGGCATCCTTGGGTAACCTCACACACACAGTATACAGACATATAAGTCAGATTCTGCTGTTGTGAACACCCCAGCCAACACAGGCAGCCTCCAACTTACGCTGTAGCTCAAGATGGTCTTAACTACCTGATCTTCCTGCCTCCACCCTCCACGAGCTGGGATTACAGGTAGGCACTCCTAAACCTGGCTTAATTGTTACTTTAAGTCAAAGGATCGTTATTACCCAGTATATATTAAAAGCAGACTATTAAACAGCAGGTCTGTCAGCTTATTTTCTGTTGCACAGGTACACATGGAGGCCAGAGGTTAGCCTTGGCTGGCATCCCCAAGAGCCATCCACCTTGGGTTTTGAGGCAGTCTCCCCTGCTGAGACCATCCCCCACTAAGTTAGCTGAGCTCCAGGGATCCTCCTGCCTCTGCCTCCCCAGTACAGGGATTACAAGCGTGCTACCACATCTAGCTTGCTATGTGGTTACTAGGAATCAAACTGAGTCCTCAAACTTAACTGACTGAGCCGCCTCCCTAGCCCGCTATCCTGTGTTTCATCCCACATGAAGTTCTGAGTTCCCCTTGATAAAGCTCTCTGTCCTCTGCACAGAGAAGGCTCCTGTTGAGGACCAGCCGCAATAAAAATCCCACTGTTTCAGCCCCTGGGAAGCTTGGGGTACACGCCAAGGATCAGGACAGTCTGGGCTATTTGCCATGTCCTTGTCTCAGAACAAAACTACCATTCCAGCATGGTGGAGCACATCTTTAACCCCAGCCCTGGGAAGGCAGAGGTATGTGGACTTCTGGGAGTTGAAAGCCAGCTTGGTGTATACAGTGAGTCCCAGGCTAGCCAAGGCTACATACACAGAGACCCTTAAAGCCCACACATTTCCCATGTAATGACCTTCCATATGAGCTGCGTAGCAGAGGGTCATTGTTGGAGGTCATTGTTTCTATGGCAACCTGGTTCGGAGGACACTTTCCCACACACCCCCATGCACTGAAGGCCTTTCTAGCTCAACAATCTACTTTGGCTGATTTCTTCAACAGGGTTCAGACTTCTAATGAGTTCACGCCAGCACCACCACTCAGTTTCTGTTCCAAAGGAAATCTAAGGCTGGCGAGATGGCTTGGCGGGTAGAGGCACCTGCCCGCCCTTTGACCTTTATGTTCGTGTGCACATGTGTGTATATATGTGTGAGTGTGCGTGTGTGTGTGTAAATAAGTGTAATCATTATTTAAATATTACCCAAGAAAATAAAAACTAGTTCAAGGGTGAACATCTAAAAAACCTGTCATCAGGCCAAGCATGGTGGCACACACCTTTAATCCTAGAGCTTGGGAGGCAGAGGCAGACAGATCTTTGTTGAGTTCAAGACCAGCCTGGTGTATACAGTGAGTTCCAGGCCAGCCAGGGTTATACAGGAATCCAGCATGTTTTTCACCAATTATTTTAAAAACATTTCCTTTCTGAAGATCATCTACTAGGAAATCAACACATTCAAATTTTTTTTTAATTATTATTATTGTGGGTATGGGTGTGGCGTGGCCACAAGAACTTCACAGGGTTCTTTATCTCTCTTTCATCCTAACCTGGGCTCCAAAGAGCAAACTCGCCTTCTGGCTCATGTGGCAAGGCCTTTACTCACAACGCCATCCCACTAGCCCGGCAGTTTCTTAAAACGCAGAACAACAACAGCTACAGCCTCAAAGCTATGTCTAAGGATATTTAGGGCGCAGAGAGAGGGGCTGTAAGAACTGATTTTTGAAGTCTCGGGATACCTTTAAGGCCGTGTTTCAGGCAGTGCTCCATAACCACGAAGAACTGCTGCAGAGGGGGGTAGTCCGAGTCCAGGGTGCGGCCAAAGCTCAGGGCAGACTCAATGAGTCCTTTGATGCTCAACTTAGCCATGTTTAACAAGTTGGCTCTCTCCACAGCTGTGGGGTCTTTTGTAGCTGAAAAGCACAAGGAAAGTCCAACGTCATTCCCAGGACAGGACAATGACAAGCACACAAATCTGCCCCGGCCCATGGAAACCAACACCGTTTGCTTTCCTGTGGTTGCCAATCGGATATCTCCTCAGACCAAGGTGCCATGACGTGACCTCCTTATTTCTCTTGCACAAGCCACAGCAAAATGCTATGTCCACTGCGGCCAATGCTTAGGATTTATCCCCAAGGCTCCACACAAGAAATGAGCTTTCTTTTCTGGGCTGGGAAGATGGCTCAGAGGGAGAGGTACTTGTGTGCGGGCCTGACCACCTGAGCTCCATCCAGAGCCCTCAAGGTGGAAGGAAAGGATACCTCTGGGGAGTTGTTCTCTGACCACCACTTACAGACTCACACGCAAGCATGCGTACACACACACACATAGACCATCACCAACCAGCCCTGGCATAGCTGTGTCTACTGATACATATGCTTAAAATTTTGTTGTTTGTTTTTTGAGACAGGGTTTCTCTATGTAGACCAGGCTGTCCTGGAATTCACTCTGTAGACCAGGCTAGCCTGGAACTCATATAGATTCGCCTGCCTCTGCTTCTGAGTGCTGGGATTGATTAAAGGCATGCACCACTACCACCTGGCTTTAAAAGTCTTATAAATGGTGGACAGTGGGTATGGTCTAATGATTTCCAAGAATAGAGGCTGAAGGGAAGGGCTATTAAGAGCATTGGCTATTCTTCCAAAGGACCACAATTTGGCTCCCAGCATCCACTGGGATGATTTAACTATAGCTCCAGCACTAGGAGGTCCTACAGCCCATTCTGGTCGAACATTTGCGCGCGCGCACACACACACACACACACCTTTATTTCAAAAAGTTCAAAATACACTAGTAACAAAATAAAAGGTAAAGTTATCAGATTCCAGAATCTCCCAAAACACACATCACAGGGGGAAACAAAACAAAACAAAATAAACCTCTGACAAATATAAGGTTAAAGAAAAAAAACAGCTCAATCCCAGGTGGAAGGCTGTGCCTTTAACCTTAGCAACTGGGAAGTTAAGTTCCAGGCCAGGCAGGGTTCGTTAGTGTCTCAAAAGACAAGCTGGGGAGGCAGAGGCAGGCGGATCTCTGTGAGTTCGAGACCAGCCTGGTCTACAGAGCTAGTTCCAGGACAGGCTCCAAAGCCACAGAGAAACCCTGTCTCGAAAAACCAAAAAAATAAATAAATAAAAAGACAAGCTGGGCAGTGGTGGCGCACGCTTTTAATTCCAGCACTCGGGAGGCAGAGGCAGGCGGGATTTCTGTGAGTTCAAGGCCAGCCTGGTCCACAAGAACTAGTTCCAGGGGGCTGGAGAGATGGCTCAGTGGTTAAGAGCACTGGCTGCTCTCCCAGAGGTCCTGAGTTCAATTCCCAGCACCCACATGGTGGCTCATAGCCATCTATAATGAGATCTGGTGCCCTCTTCTGGCCTGCAAGCACACATGGAAGGAATGTTGTATACAAAATAAATAACTAAATCTTAAAAAAAAAAAAAAGCTACAGAGAAACCCTGTCTCGAAAAACAACAACAAAACAAAAAAAGACACAACTTCCAAAAAGAAAAGAAAGACAAAAAGAAATAAAAAATCTAGTACCAGCTGGAAAGAGAGCGCAGGTGTTTCAACATGGTTTTACATCTACTGCTCTTCTGGCGGACCCAGGAATCCCAGCACCTATGGCAACTGCTTAACAGTTCCCAGGGGATTCAACACCTAGAGGCCCCTACACTCAGGTACGCACCATTAAAAGTGCTTTTAAAAATCATCTGTTTACCCAACACTTCAAACACTGCCAAGAGGCAGAAATATTTTCTGCAAAGATGGTAAAACTGAGATGTGAAAAACAAAGCATTTAGCTAACATTTTATAATCCCCAAATATCTCTGGGCGCAGTGGTGTGCTTTAATCTCAACATTTGTGAGGGAGAGATGTGTGTGTGTGTGTGATCTGAATTTGGGCCAGCCTTTAATCCCAACATTTGTGAGGGAGAGACCGGGGTGTGTGAGAGAGAAAGAGTGAGAGAGAGGGAGATCTGAGTTTGAGGCCAGCCTATGCTGTATAGTGAGACATGTTTTTGTTTTTTTTTTTTAAAAAAAAACACCTTCAAATAAATAACAAATCAGGTGGTTACGGAGTTCATTAGATCGGTTTGCGCTATTTAGTGGCGCACTGTCTTAAAACTAAAGAGCTGGGCGGGAGGCTCATTCCAGAACTAGGGAGCCAGACGCAGGAGGATCTCTGTTCTTCCTGCTCTGCATAGCGAGCTCCTGGACATCCAGGATTATAGTCATAGGGAGAGCCTGTCTCAAAACAAAACAAAAGTCCATTTTTCTGGTACTGTGGTAAAAAGCAAACCAAGCAAAAAAGCAGAGTTCCCCCGTGCTCTGGTCCTCTATTATGATTTGGATTTCAGCTCCCTAGGCTGAATCCTGACTCCGAATCCTCCGCAATCTAAAACTGGCAGGCTGGATAGTGAAGGATGTTCACGCACCATCTCCTCCACTCGGCGGTGGTGTGATTCCCTCTCCCCACTCCCACCCTCGCGGTGAAACCACCTGACGTTTCATAATCGGCAGCATTCTCTTTTTAGAGTGTTCATCACAACCTGTAACCTGCAGCGGACGAGCCTAGGAGGGCGGCTGTGCAGCAGAGGCCGCAGGTGGAGCCGGCAGCCGCGCTCCCCGGCAGTCCCTAGAGCCGACCCGGCTCTCTCGGCGTCCCCAGCAGCTGGCACCGGAGGCCCCACGGGCGCGCTTCCGGGGCTTAGCACCGCACCGATCCCCTCCCCAGCCCTCCGTCCACCACCAGCGAGACTGGGAAGCCATCTCGGTCCCCGGACGCCGCGGTCCCCGCCCGTCCATTGGCCCCAGCAGCCAGGCCCCAGAGCGGGCGGGGCGCAGGGATGCGGGCGGGCGCGCGTTGCCATAGCGACCCCGGGAGCTCCCTTGCCCCCCGATGATTGCGCGGCCCCGGCGGTGGATGGTGATCCCGGGTGCTGCCCTTACCCATGGCGACGGTGCGTATCGGACACGGGCTCTCCGGGCGGGTCAGCAGCTCCCCGCAGGCGCGCCGCGGCCACCGCGTCTGACTCGGCTCGGTGCGGTCACAGCGCCCCTGGTGGCGGGAGGGCGCCAGGGCCGCGCGAAACCGGTCCCCGCGGATCATCCCCGCCTGAGCGACCCTGGCGCGACAGGGAAAGCGTGGCAGGGACCTGGAGACGGGGCTCTGGGACTGCAGCACAGCGCCAAGGGTGGCTGTAAAAGGGGCCTCAAGTCACCTGCAAACGTTCTATTCACGCAGGTTGGATGGGCTTAATAGAACTCACCGGGCGGCTCCCTTTGATCTTGACAAACCCGGAGCAGGCCGCCAGATTTTAGAAAACCTCACACAATTAACAGAGCCGGAGCTGTATGCAATTCCAGCATTTGGGAGATAGGAGGTAGAAGGATCCGTAGTTGAAGATCAGGCTCAGGGACATAATGGGATTGAAACCAGCCTAGTCTCTAAAAAAAAAAAAAAAAAAAAAAAAAAAAACAAGACAATTTTAAGACGCAGGAGCTCCACTGAAGTCCGGGTGCGGTGGCGATCACTGCTAGTCCCAGCACTCGCGCAGAGGTGGAAGCCAGAAGATTGCTGGGAACTCAGGGTTACTTTGAGCTACATAGCAAGTGCCAGCTCCTCCAAGACTGTCCCAAATGACAAAATGTAATGCTTTATAGGAGGGTATGGTGGACCTGTAAATACCAACTCTCAGGTGGAAGCGAGATGACGTGGAGTGCTTTAGCGCTAAAAATCCTTTCCAGGAGGAGGCGTAAACAAAGTCTGCCCAACCCTCCTAAAATCCCAAGGACAAACGGAGGTACAGTCGCCCAAAGCGATTCACCCTGAAGAAACAGTGAGCAACGGGGAGACGTGTAGGTGATCTTGAAACTGTATGGATGATCACACACACACACACACACACACACACACACACACACACACACACACCTCCCACATGGACAGGACACCACAGCCAGAGATACACAGAAACCCTGCCGAGGTAAAAACAAAAACCTATCCATGAAATCCACAGCTAGGTAGAAAAATTATTCTTTCTTCAGCTGTTTCTTACTTCCCCATACCTAGTAATAAAAAGACATTTCATCCCTTGCCTATAGCGATGGGCAGGCCTTACAGACGCAGAGGCAGCTGTTAATACCTCACAGAGCACTACCCTCCTCTCCCCTGCAGGCGCTAGGATCTCCAGGCTTTCCAGAGCAAAGGTCAGCAGATCTTCCGGATGCCTGGCTCCAGCTGACTCTTCTTTAATCGTTGCCAGGAAACTGGAAGTTCTGACTCAGGTCTGCGCCCTGAGGACTGGGAAGCCATCAGGTTAGGGCTGGCTACTATGTCTTCACGCTGGGATTAAAGGTGTGTGGGCCACAACTGACCAGCAAGGGTTACCTTAAATTTACTTGAGTAAAGTCAAACTTTTTCTCTAAAATTTCTCAAAATTTCCACCACTAGGTCTAGGAATTGTGCTGGATCTGATCTCACTGCAATGAAACCAGGAACTAAACTTGACATTTCTACCAGCTGTGTGCAACTTTGGCTGTTCTTTCTTGGGATGCTTGGAAGTGAGAATTTCCTCATTATTTTATTACTGTCTTGTAGGTATGTGGATGAATATTGGGCTTATTCTGTGTTTATGTTACTGTGGGGACCACCCTTCCTCATGGTTTGAGATTCGTTTTTTTTAAGACTTATTTTTTTATTTTTAAATATTTATTTATCTATTATGTATACAATAGTCTGTGTGTATGCCTGTAGGCCAGAAGAGGGCACCAGACCACATTACAGATGGTTGTGAACCACCATGTGGTTGCTGGGACTTGAACTCAGGACCTTTGGAAGAGAAGGCAATGCTCTTAACCTCTGAGCCATCTCTCCAGCCCCAAGACTTATTTATTATGTATACAGTGTTCTGCCTACACACCAGAAAAGGGCACCAGATGTCATTATAGATGGTTTTGAGCCACTAGGGTCCTCTGAAGAAGTCAGTGATCTTTGTTTTTTGTTTTTCGAGACAGGGTTTCTCTGTGTTGCTTTGGAGCCTGTCCTGGAACTAGCTCTTGTAGACCAGGCTGGCCTCAAACTCCCAGAGATCCACCTGTCTCTGCCTCCCCAGTACTGGGATTAAAGGTGTGTGCCTCCACTGTTCGGCAGAGCAGCCAATCCTCTCTTAACCTCTGAGCTATCTCTCCAGCCCACTTTTGAGATTTGTAAAGACCTTGTTCAAGTCTTTTATCTTTTTCCTTACTATCTTAGATTTACTATTATATAGTAGTCTTACTCTTACTTGCTTTTCCGTGTTCTCATTGTCCTCTGCTTAGTCCTTCTCTCTCTTACCATGTGCACTCCAGGAATCTAACTTAGTTCATCTGGCTTGCCTTTACCCCGAACCATCTCCACGACCCTGGTTTCAGTGTCTCGTTGGCATGCACGTCTGTGCATCACACATGTGTCTGGGGCCTGGGTAGGCCAGAAGAAGTCATCAGATCCGTTTAGACTCAGTGCACCCACATGGCGGTTCACTGGCTGTCACTCCAGTCTCCGTGAATCCAGTGACCTCCTCTATCTGCCATCCCGACACCAGGTACACATGCAGCATACAAACATACAGGTCAAACACCCATGCACATAAAAGCAAATTTTTAAAAGTTGAAATACAAACTGAATTGTTCGTTTTTTCCCTTCTATAAATGATGAGTAAAAAGGCTCAGGAGTCTACGTCCTTCCAGAAAAATCAAGTAAGATGAAGTACATGTTGTAAAGGACCAGGAGAGCATTAGGCACGGCAGCACATGCCTGCAATCCCTACACTCACCATTTCTGCAATGTTTGGGACCAGGTAGGTCTTCAATGTAAGTTTGGGCCTAGCCATGGCCACATAACAAGATCCTTTCTCAATAGGTAAATAAATAATATAAAATATACTGCAGCCTGTGGGAGCCTAGGCAGTTTAGATGCTCACCTTACTAGACCTGGATGGAGGTGGGTGGTCCTTGGACTTCCCACAGGGCAGAGAACCCTGATAGCTCTTTGGGCTGACGAGGGAGGGGGACTTGATTGGGGGAGGGGGAGGGGGAGGGAAATGGGAGGCGGTGGCGGGGAAGAGACAGAAATCTTTAATAAATAAATTTAAATATATATATATATATATATATATATATATATATATATATATACTGCAGCCATCAAGTAGAACCTGGAGGACACACAGGGTCACTAGAGATTGGGGGTGTAGCTCAATTGGTAGTGTGCTTGTCTCAGATGCATGAAACCCCGGGTTCAATCCCCAGCACCGTATGAACTGTGGGTAGTGTATATTTGTAATCACAGCTCTCAGGAGGAAGAATCGGGTTAGGCTCATCCTCAGTCTGAGGCTGGACTCTGACTCAATGGGGGGGGGGGGCTCTTAGCAGCCTCTTCTAGAAACCTACCCTTAAAGTGAGGGGAGAAGGGGAAACATCAGAGAACAAAACTTGACCCGTTACCAAACCAGGCCTGTTTTATCTGAGTCACCCAACAGTCAGCTCTGCGAGTGTAGTCCCGTTCCAGCTGAGGATGGAGACGGGTGAGCACGTAAAGGGAAGCGCAGCGGCTGGCAGGCACCGCCCTACGAACTCACCTACATTAGCATCATGGCCTCCTCCATGCATCTTACATGCCAGGCCCAGCCTCAAACTTGTGATCCTCCTGCCTCAGCCCTCCTGAGTGACGAGACTAAAACTGGTGGCTTTCAGGACTGGCTAGACAGTAACTAGGCCAGGCTATGTGGGTTAGGTCTCGGGAGAAGCAGCGGTTGTCGATGATGACAGCTGGGCCAGAGGAGTCAGGTGAAGCTAGTAAGCCAGGGGAGATTTTTCCCTTGTTTCCAAGTAGGCCCCAGAAATGGGGCTACAGAAAGGCATTTTATCTTCATGGGCCCTTGCTCCGACACACAGCATTGTTGAGGTATAGAAGACCTCATTTGGGCTTAACTCCAACCCCAAAGCTCAAAGCACAGAAACATCTATGCAGAAAACATACAACTCTTTCACATAACTAAGTGACAAGAATTGGGGCTGGAGGTGGCTCAGTGGTTAAGGGCACCTGTTGCCTTCACAGAGAACCTAGGTCTCATTCCTAGCACCATGTTGGGAGGCTCACAACAGACTATAATTCCAGCTCCAAGGCATTGCCATCCTCTTCTGCCCTCAGAAGGCACCTGTACACACACACACACACACACACACACACACACACACTTATAAAAAAAAAAAACTGGGGGCTGGAGAGATGGCTCAGAGGTTAAGAGCATTGCCTGCTCTTCCAAAGGTCCTGAGTTCAATTCCCAGCAACCACATGGTGGCTCACAACCATCTGTAATGAGGTCTGGTGCCCTCTTCTGGCCTGCAGGCATATACACAGACAGAATATTAGGTACATAAAAAAATAAATAAATATTAAAAAAAAAAAAAACTTTAAAAATCTTTCTGTTTGGCTCCTCCCAGGAGCTGAAATCGTTTCCAGCTTCCTGCTCTCATAACAGCCTAAGGATATTTAAGCAATGAGAGTTAACTCTTCAATCTGCTGCCAACTCTCTTCTTGCTGGGTGGTGGCGCACACCATTAATCCCAGCACTCGGGAGGCAGAGGCAGGTGGATCTCTGAGTTCAAGGCCAGTCTGGTCTACAGAGTGAGTTCCAGCACAGGCTTCAAAGCTACAGAAAAATCCTGTCCAGGAAAACCAAAAACAAACAAACAAATACACGAAACAAAAAAACCTTTCTTCTTTATGCGGCTTTGGTCCCGGTGCTTTATCTCAGCAAGAGAAAAGTAATCGATACAGTGTGAGCAACATTTCACAAATCATGGTGGGGAAAAACGCTAGACACCAGAGTTTAATCAATACTCAGGGGGAGAGGGTGTAGCTCGGTGGAATGC